ATAATAAATAAAAAAGTGACTTGTGCTCGATGAGTCTCATGCGTAACCAAAGTGGCTAGTGCTGTAACTGCCCTAACGAACCCGGACCCTAATGGTCGACTGTCAGGTGCTCTGATGGGGAGCGGAATGTACAGTGGGGAGAACAAGTATTTGATACACTGCCGATTTTGCAGGTTTTCCTACTTAAAAAGCATGTAGAGGTCTGTAATTTTTATCATATGTACACTTCAACTGTAAGAGACGGAATCTAAAACAAAAATCCAGAAAATCACATTGTATGATTTTTAAGTAATTAATGTGCATTTTATTGCCTGACATAAGTATTTGATACATCAGAAAAGCAGAACTTAATATTTGGTACAGAAACCTTTGTTTGCAATTACAGAGATCATACGTTTCCTGTAGGTCTTGACCAGGTTTGCACACACTGCAGCAGGGATTTTGGCCCACTCCTCCATACAGACCTTCTCCAGATCCTTCAGGTTTCGGGGCTGTCGCTGGGCAATACGGACTTTCAGCTCCCTCCAAAGATTTTCTATTGGGTTCAGGTCTGGAGACTGGCTAGGCCACTCCAGGACCTTGAGATGCATCTTACGGAGCCACTCCTTAGTTGTTCTGGCTGTGTGTTTCGGGTCGTTGTCATGCTGGAAGACCCAGCCACGACCCATCTTCAATCCTCTTACTGAGGGAAGGAGGTTGTTGGCCAAGATCTCGCGATTAATGGCCCCATCCATCCTCCCCTCAATACGGTGCAGTCGTCCTGTCCCCTTTGCAGAAAAGCATCCCCAAAGAATGATGTTTCCACCTCCATGCTTCACGGTTGGGATGGTGTTCTTGGGGTTGTACTCATCCTTCTTCTTCCTCCAAACACGGCGAGTGGAGTTTAGACCAAAAAGCTATATTTTTGTCTCTTCAGACCACATGACCTTCTCCCATTCCTCCTCTGGATCATCCAGATGGTCATTGGCAAACTTCAGACGGGCCTGGACATGCGCTGGCTTGAGCAGGGGGACCTTGCGTGCGCTGCAGGATTTTAATCCATGACGGCGTAGTGTGTTACTAATGGTTTTCTTTGAGACTGTGGTCCCAGCTCTCTTCAGGTCATTGACCAGGTCCTGCCGTGTAGTTCTGGGCTGATCCCTCACCTTCCTCATGATCATTGATGCCCCACGAGGTGAGATCTTGCATGGAGCCCCAGACCGAGGATGGTTGACCGTCATCTTGAACTTCTTCAATTTTCTAATAATTGCGCCAACAGTTGTTGCCTTCTCCCCAAGCTGCTTGCCTATTGTCCTGTAGCCCATCCCAGCCTTGTGCATCTACAATTTTATCCCTGATGTCCTTACAGAGCTCTCTGGTCTTGGCCATTGTGGAGAGGTTGGAGTCTGTTTGATTGAGTGTGTGGACAGGTGTATTTTATACAGGTAACGAGTTCAAACATGTGCAGTTAATACAGGTAATGAGTGGAGAACAGGAGGGCTTCTTAAAGAAAAACTAACAGGTCTGTGAGAGCCGGAATTCTTCCTGGTTGATAGGTGATCAAATACTTATGTCATGCAATAAAATGCAAATTAATTACTTAAAAATCATACAATGTGATTTTTTGGAATGTTGTTTTAGATTCCGTCTCTCACAGTTGAAATGTACCTATGATAAAAATTACAGACCTCTACATGCTTTGTAAGTAGGAAAACCTGCAAAATCGGCAGTGTATCAAATACTTGTTCTCCCCACTGTATAGGGGAACCAATGTAATGCCTAGACTATGTGCAAATGACCTGTCCATAAAGTTCCCAGCTGCGCCTGAATCGACCAGCGCCTTACACTGGGGCTCTACCGTGTAATCAGGAAAGTGGATGTGTGGACATTCTCTAGAAGCCAGCAGGTTGTCCAACTGGATGGCCATGTCCACCAGTTGATCGAAAGACAATGTGGTGACCCGGCAGGCCAGCTCCCTTCGGACGTCCTCTCGTAGATGGCACCGGAAGTGGTCGATGAGGGCCCGCTCGTTCCACCCGGACCCAGCCGCTAGAGTGTGAAACTCCAGGGCGAAGTCCATCGCGGTCATCGTCCCCTGCCTCAGGTGGACCAGCCACTCGCCTGCCTCTCTGCCTTTGGGCAGGTGATCGAAGACGGCCCGAAAGAGGCGAGCGAACTCCCCATAGTTGTCCAACGCGGCTCCTCCTTCACTCCAGACCGTGTTGGCCCACTCCAGGGCTTTCCCCAAGAGGCAGGAGACGAGGGCGGACACCTTATCCCGCTCCGATGGAACCGGCCTGATGGTCGAGAAGTATAAATCCATTTGTAGGAGGAATCCTTGGCAGAGGGCAGCTGTCCCGTCAAAATCCTGTGGTCGAGATATATAAATCCCTCTTTGTGCTGTGGTGTGGGTGGCTGGATCCGGTCGCTCAGCTGGTCCCGAAAGATCGAATCCTCTCCTCTCCAGGCGTTGGACGACCTGGAGAATCGCATCCATCGCTTCTCCCAAGCTGGTTAGCATAGTTGAATGCTCCCGGACCCATTCCACTACTCCAGGCAGGTGCTCCTCTCCTGCTGACTTCATGTTTGGGTGTGCGATTCTGTGATGATGTGGATTTGGAAGGAGTCAGGCGCAGGAGGGTAAATCACAGAATAAGAGGATTTATTATGAAGCACAAAGTTACGCAGTAATGCGTCAGAACACTCAAGTGCACAAAACAGGCAAAACAGGCGCACTGGAAAATACAAGGCACACGGGGAAATATCCCGGCGATACAAAATACACGGAGCTCCACCAAGCTACTCTATCCTCCACAATAAACAATCACACACAAAGACAAGAGGGCAGAGGGAACACTTATACAGGTACTGATGAGGGGATATGAACCAGGTGTGTGTAATAAACAAGACAAAACAAATGGAATGATGAGATGAGGAGCGGCAGTGGCTAGAAGGCCGGTGACGACGAACGCCGAAGCCTGCCTGAACAAGGAGAGGAGGCAGTCTCTAAGGAAGTCGTGACATCAATATGGATCAAGCAATAGACTTTCAAATAAACCAATCAGTATGGCATCATGCTCAAGCAATAGACTTCAAAAATACATATCAACAACTCATTGTCATTCACCATCAACCTTATACAAAGATGGGCATATAGTGGTACAGAGAGGGGTCAGATCTACAGTCTCAATTCACTTAAATGCACCAAATACATTTTGGGTATATTGTTTTCCTATCTTTGGTATCCAGCTTCACCTGGTGGATATGATAGACTGCATGATAATTCAGGCAACAACATTTGCTTTAGCAAATGGGTGCAGTCAGCAAAAATGAGGAGGAACCGATAGTTCCAATCTGTGTGCGATGTAAATTGCTGTGCAACATGCTTTACAAGACAGCCTTACAACTCAAATTCCAAATTGTCACCTGATTATCTGTTCGTCCTCTCCCTGCCTCAACATGGGCGGTGCTCTCTCTATCACTCTCTCTATTGCCTATCTTTGAATCCTGCCATAATCATATGACCAAAATACTATTATCATGTGACAAAAAAGGCAGGCCTCAACAATGATGGGGTTAGCTTATTAACATGAATTAGATTATGCTTTTATTAGCTGAATTATTTATTTACTATCTGGCAATAGGTATAGCTAGCTATCTGACTACATAGTGTCAGCATATTATGAATTGTACAGTGTAGTTAGCTAGCTAGCTAGCTAGCTAGCTATGTAGCCATTCATTCATTTACTTACAGTCTTCTGCACTCCCCCAAAAAATTGTATGTCCTGCACTTTTATCCTCTTTTTATGTCATTTTATGAGGCATGTCTTACCTTGTTTCAATGTAGCCATGCCAAAATCAGATCATAGATATGTTAAGGGGATATATTTTATAAACACTTTATTATGCCATTGAAACCAGCATTTAGAGAGTCTGTTTTGAACCGTCTCAGACAGAGGCCATTTCTTTTGCTTCCCCGGGACGATGGGACACCCTTATTTTCGAGCCCTGTAGCTACCTTTCCTCAGCGAACACTACAAAGAGGAAGAGAGAGTGTGTAGTGCATTCTGCAGAACTGTTACTTCAGACCAAAGCAATACATTGGCTGGCTGCCTCTGGGGACCGGGCGCAACCAAAAGCGTATTTGGTGGCGGGGGGATCCAATCATAAAATGAGGAACTGAGTCACTGTGGTGCAAAGCCACATAAAGTCAGTAGCTGCCTGGCTCTTTACAGTTGGGATTTATTTTCTTCAATCAATCAAACTCATCATGGTATATTATTGGGGGGGGTCAAAATGACCTGTTTCTAATATTGACCTTTCTAACATGACACCCACGCCCCCCCTACAAGTTACACATGCGTGCGTGCATATGGGTGTGCTTGCGTGAATGCTAGTGTAACGCAATTAAGAACGTGCTGTAAGCTCAATCCATAGCTAACATGTCGCGGATGGAGCCATCCAATCAGTACCTTTTGGGTGGCTCAAACCGTTGGTCCGTTGGAGGAAGCTAAGCTGTTAGCAGCACACTTGACCCCCGTTACACTAGAGAGCGAGTGTGCGTGTTTGTATGTGTCCATGCATGCGCGTCTGTGTGTTTTTGTACATGCTTGTGTTGTGTCTGACGTGTGTTTGACCTTTGCATTACTGTGTGTTTCAGGAGAGATCACCACTACAGCGTTACTGGACAGAGAGCTGAAGTCAGAGTACATCCTGATTGTCAGAGCTGTGGATGGAGGGGTGGGGCCACTGCAAAAGACAGGCATTGCCACGGTAACCACCACAATTCTCAAACCTCTTCATGTTTCTTATTGTTCTAAGAGTATTTAGATGATTCTCTCTCTCTCGCTTTCTCTCTCTTGCTGTCTCTCTCCATTTCTCTCTCTCTCCCTCCATCTCTCTCTCTCTCCCCCTCTCTCTCTCCCTCTAAGCCTTTAACTGAAGTCAGAACAGTCATTAACCGTTTCTTCTCCTCCCTCCAGGTGAACATCACCATCCTGGACATCAACGACAATGTCCCCATGTGGCGAGATGAGCCGTACCATGCCAACGTGGTGGAGATGAGCCCTATCAGCACTGACGTCATCTCTGTGAGTTCAGTTTGCCTTGACCTTTGACATTTGATGCCCTGACCCCCAGATGAACTATGGCTTGTAGATATAAAGAAATTAGCAAGGGTATTATGTGGTGAGCGGACTGCAGAAGACAGACAGACCGCTGCCTTGTCCATAGCAATTAAATTGAAAGTACGATTCTTTGACCACTTTACACTTTTTTTGTGGATAGGATTTTTCCTGTGCTCCTTCATCTAAACTGAAAGTGAATTGGAACCTTAAATGCATTTAAATTCTTCTCCCTTTGATTGGATATGACTGCGGGTATTTTGGTGGAAATAAATCGACTGTGCTGTACAATGTGTAGCCAGAGGAAACATACTAAATGGATTACAGTTAAGGGATAAAGAAGATACTTCTACAGGTAGTGCAGAGTCTGCTGATCGACAAATAAATAATGGATTGCAGCATATATAGACCTAACCTACTGTGCTCGGACAGAAAGACGACAAATCAACTGCGAGACATACAGTACATGAGGTTTAAAATAAACGCACGTTTGGGGGCGAGTGACATTTCTACAGGTAGTACATTTGGGTAACGGAAAGACTTGATTGCAGTGAGCATATGTATACCTAACCCACTGTGCTCTGACAATAAGTGGAAATATACAATAAGTGTCCAACAGTGCAAATCAACTCCGGGACATATATGAAGTTGAGAATAATACATTCTGGGGGAGTGGTGGAACGTAATCAGGTGAACAGCTAGACCATCCCAGGCCACCAGACCAAACTTCTATTAGTGGGCAATACACTCTACAACTACTGTAAGTCACAGTGTAGGTCGTATCAAGTAAACATTTTGACATTATTATCCCTCCCTCCCTCATTGTCCTGCTGGTGTCTTTGGCAACGTGTTATCGCTGATGAACACCTGATTGTCAATTAATTAACAATGTGCCGGTGAGTGTAATTAAGGGAGTCCGATCGCTAATTAAAATGCAGCCTGCAGTCAAATGCATTGCAAATTATCCTGCTGCTGGGCTGGTGGGGAAGAGAGAAAAGTAATCACTGTGGAATGAGAGATGGAGAGAAAAAGTGGTGGTTGGGACTAAAATGTTTGTCTTTCTGCTTTTTCCTCTCTTCACTCCCTCCATCATGGTGGAACTGGAGAAAATGGAGAGGAGAGGAAGAGAAAGATAATAAATGTATCTATCTTTAATTTGAGCACTTTAGCCATCATTGTGGTACAAGAGGGATGGAGAGATAAAGAGGAGAGGAGAGAACGAGTGGTGGTGTTGGAACATTGAATTGTGTTTGTCTTTCTCCCTCTCCCACTCTTCACTTCCTCCATATGTACTTTAATATGAACACTTTTCCCTTGCGTTGGATGCACTTTTCCTTAGCGTTGGATTTCCCTTACATTGGATCCACACACACACACACACACACACACACACACACACACACACACACACACACACACACACAGTGACACAGTCATTCATCAATGGAGATGGTGCTCTGAGGGTACTCACCCTCGCCCCCCTTGCCCCTTTCTGACCAAAGCTCAATAAGGCCAGGCAGGCGACCACCTCTCCTGTGCCATACAGTCCCATAATTGGGTTGTTGTGTGCCCATGCCCTCTGTGTGTTACCATGGCGACGGGGAGCCACCTGCAGAGCCCAGTGAGCCGATGAATTCGGTCGCAGTGCCCTGGGCAAAGGCTAGAGCCTTACAACACACACACACACAGTCAGACAGTTTATGTTCTCTCCTAAGACCTAGATTGATTAATTTAAACGGACTGTGGGGCTACCTATGAATAAGTTTCCCCTCTTAAATCTCCTTCCACTACCCCCTCTTTCTTTTTCTCTCTCTTTTTCTCTCTCTTTATCTCTCTCCCCTCTTTCTAATTTCTTTCATAATCAATGTAGGGTAATCAAAACCAGTTTCCAGCGTTTTCTTTGTCAGTGCGGTAATAATTGATCAGCTCTTTAAAAATCATGCCGTGTTTTTAGCTGGCCCTCTCGGCCCAGTGTATTTAAATCACCTATCACGTTAGATGTTAGGTTGGGAGAGAGATGTTTTTATCTCTCTCCCACCTGACTGTTGTTGTGCGGTGGGGGTGAAGTGATGTAAAGTGCCAGATTTTTCCCCCACTATTCCTTTTTTCTCTCATCATTCCTCCTCTCTCCCCTCACTCCTCCATTTTCTCCTCTCTTTCCTATCTTCCTATCTTTCCTCACTCCTCCCCCCAACCCCCTCCTCTCCTCTCCTCCACTCACCCCCCCCCCCCACTCCCTCCTCCCCCCATTTTCCCTTCCCCCCTTATTCCCCCCTTATCCCTCCTTCCCCCCCATACATCCCTCCAGGTGCTAGCGATAGACCCAGACGTTGGGGACAATGGGACAGTGGTGTACAGCATCAGCCCAGAGAACCCCTTCTACACCATCAACAGCAGCACGGGGAAGATCAGGACCAGCGGGGCCGTGCTGGACAGAGAGAGGTCCAACCCAAAAGACATCCTGCTCATGAGGACCATCATCGTGTCTGCTGTCGATCGTGAGTCCCACACCAGGCCAGAACTCTGTTTGTTGGTTTGTTGGTCGGTTTGTTGTTCTGTGTGTCTGGCTGGCTAGCTGTTTATCTGGGACGATACTTCTGTCTCTGTGTGCCTGTGTCTGTGTGTGTGTGTCTGTGTCTGTGTGTGTGTCTGTCTGTGTCTGTGTGTGTGTCTGTCTGTGTCTGTGTGTGTGTCTGTGTGTGTGTGTCTGTCTGTGTCTGTGTGTGTGTATGTCTGTGTCTGTGTCTGTGTCTGTGTGTGTGTGTGTGTACGTGCGTGCGTGCGTGTGTCCGACTGTCTGGGGCTGATGAGTCTTTCAGTCTGTTAGCCTATAATGTATCTGTATCTAAATTACAGTGTGCGTTCATATGTGAGTCTCTGCAATAACACTGTTTCTACAAGACCTTCCTGCTACTGTCCCAAAAAGCCACTTCTCGTTTGGAAAACGGCCTATGTGGCATCGATATGAGTCAGAAACATTTATTCTAATGTCAAAATTGACTACAAAGTTTAAATAGGATAATGTTTGTTATAACGTCAGTCTCGTCCAAAACGGAGATTTGCGAGATGATATGAAAAAATGCTATGTCACGGAATGAAGGGTACCGTAACAGTTTTTCTTGGGTTGGGTTTATTTAAATCCTGCCCAATTGCCCGCAGCTGGCAGCACCCAAGTAATCATCAATTCGGAGCGCAGCTGCATGCAACCCAATCGTAATGCCCATGGTCAATTTGGTTGACATTCGATATCCCTATGAGGCTAGTTAGGGACCATCAGTAAATTACAAAATATTTTAAAATGTCAATGGCTCCAAATTTATGTGACTTAAGTTGGCTAACACTAGCTAGCCTAGGCGACTTCAAGACACAAGACCTGGTTAGACTGTTTCTAGTTGTCTAGAAGTGACTGTAACTGTGTACTGTTTTGGCAGTGTGAATATACAAACACTTGCCACGTGCGAACACAAACACAAGCGACAGCCACGTTAAACCACCCCCCCAAGACAACTCTCGTTTGGCTGCATTTCTTAATGAACTAAATAGGAGGCCAAATCAGGAAGTTTAACCCCCCTGTAATATTGATGGTAAAACTTTTATTGGAGTTTTGTGCTCCTGTAAATTCTGTGTTTGTTCCTCTGGCGCCCACTCCAGTTGGCAGACCTCCACTGCGTTCCTCAGTCAGCACCACGGTGTACATCAACTTGCTGGACCTTAATGACAATGACCCCACCTTCCTTAACCTGCCCTTTGTGGCCGAGGTGCCAGAGGGCCTGCCTAGTGGATCCTCTGTGTTCAAGGTCAGTACACCATTACAATATGTCATTAGAGTTAGTTGCGTGTGTAATTGTAACAGATTCATCAGATGGAAGTGTGAAGGCAAATTGAACATCTTCTTTGTTTCTGTATTCCCCTGTCTGTCATGTCCTCCTCTCACTTCTATTCTCCCCACCACTTCCATCTCTCTCTCCCTCTCTGTCCCCTCTGTCTCTAATCCCCACATCTCATCTTACTCCTCCCCTCTCCCCTCTCCCCTCTCCCCTCTCACCTTTCCTCTCCTCTCCTCTCCTTTTCTCTTGTCTCCTCTCCTCTCCTTCCCTTCTCGCATCCTTTCCTCTGTTCCTCCTCCTCTCCTCTCTCCCATCCTCCTCTCTCCCGTCCTCCTCTCTCTCTCTCTCTCTCCCTCTCTCCCTCTCTCCCTATCTCCCTCTCCTCTCTCTCAATCCCTCTCTCCTCTCCTCCCTCAGATCCAGGTGGAGGACCCTGATGAGCAGGAGAATGGTAGGGTTACCATGGGGCTACTGGTGGGCATGCCACGCCTTGACTTCTATCTCAACACCACCACGGGCGTGCTGTACTCAACGGCAACTCTGGACCGCGAGCAGATAAGCCTGTACCACCTGAGGATCGTGGCGTACGACCAAGGGCAGAACCCACGCACCTCCACCAGCACCCTTACCATCACAGGTATGCAAGCATCAGGGCATGTATTCACAAAGTGTCTCAGAGTAGGTGTGCTGATCTAGGATCAGTTTTGCCTTTCAGATCATAATGACTAAGACAGGGGGGACCTGATCCTAAATCACCACTCCTACTTTGAGACGCTTTGTGAATACAGGTCATGGCTGGTCCAACATACAAACTTTACACCATATAAAGACTGATTCAAGACAGTAATTTGCTAAGTATAATAGCACTACCTGCTGGTCAGAAGCAGATATTTTAGAAGCGCTGAGAGATTAATGACAATCTGTTAAATGTGTTGCTCGTCTTGTCTGCCTATTGAGCATGATGAAAGTTATTTTAAGAGACAATGTGTCTCTCTTTGTCTCTCTTTGTCTGTATGTCTGCTTGCCTGCCTGTCTCTCTGTGTCCCTCAGTCCTAGATGCCAACGACGAGACCCCCACCTTCTTCCCCAAGATATACAACGTGTCCCTGCAGGAGAGCGTCCCCAGGGACCATGTGGTTGCTCGCCTCAACTGCTCTGACAACGACGCCGGCCTCAACGCCGAGCTCAGCTACTTCATCACAGGTCAGAGGTCAAACTAAGGCTATGGCAGCCTGTGTGTGTCTGTGTGTTTGTGAGCGTGTGTGTGTGTGTGTGTGGTTGGGAAAGACGTGTGTTTGTCTAGAGTGGTTGGGCAAGATGTAGAGTTGTATTATGTGAATGTGCTACTACTTGTTTATGTGTGTACACTAGTGTATGTGTGTGTGTGTATGCATACTTGCGTTCATTCGTGTGTATAAGTGAATAGCCGAGATATACATGTAATATTCCACCATCTGTGTGTTGTCTTCTGCAGGTGGTAACCAGGATGGTAAATTCAGTGTTGGCTTCAGAGATGGTGTGGTCCGGACTGTGGTTGGCCTGGACAGAGAGACACAGGCTACATACTCACTGGTCATAGAGGCTATTGGTAAGTCCTAGCCCTATCAGAGTAATTTTCATCTTTCTTTTTACTCTGTGTATCCAATTTGGGCTTGTTTTAATGTACATGTTTTCTACGATTTCAAATATCAAATTGGTTCAAAGCTACAACCCTTTTGTACATCTGTGAGATTGAGGAGCGAGAAGTGATGGATGCAAGTCTTGTTGCGCAACGGTCTCTGTTCCTTTTCATCATCTTACCAAAGAGAGACCAAGAAGGCCTGTGTCGTGACATGACTTACTTTAATGTATGACTGTTATTTATCGACTCACCTACACTACCGTTCAAAAGTTTGGGGTCACTTAAAATGTCCTTGTTTTCAAAATAACATGAAATTGTCCATTAAAATAACATCAAATTGATCAGAAATACATTCTAGACATTGTTAATGTTGTAAATGGCTATTGTAGCTGGAAACTGCAGATTTTTAATGGAATATCTACATAGGCGTACAGAGGCCCATTATCAGCAACTATCAGTCCTGTGTTCCAATGGCACGTTGTGTTTGCTAATCCAAGTTTATCATTTGAAAAGGCTAATTGGTCATTAGAAAACCCTTTTGCAATTATGTTAGCACAGCTGAAAACTGTTGTGCTGATTAAAGAAGCAATAAAACTGGCCTTCTTGAGACTAGTTGAGTATCTGGAGCATCAGCAATTGTGGGTTCGATTACAGGCTCAAAATGTCCAGAAACAAATAACTTTCTTCTGAAACTCGTCAGTCTATTCTTGTTCTGAGAAATGAAGCTATTCCATGCAAGAAATTGCCAAGAAACTGAAGATCTCGTACAACACTGTGTACTACTCCCTTCACAGAACAGCGCAAACTGTCTCTAACCAGAATAGAAAGAGGAGTGGGAGGCCCCGGTGCACAACTGAGCAAGAGGACAAATACATTAGAGTGTCGAGTTTGAGAAACAGACGCTTCACAGGTCCTCAACTGGCAGCTTCATTAAATAGTACCCACAAAACACCAGTCTCAACGTCAACAGTGAAGAGGCGACTCCGGGATGCTGACCTTCTAGGCAGAGTTGTAAAGAAAAAGCCATATCTCAGACTGCTCATCTTAATCTTTTCTTTTAATTGGCCAGTCTGAACGGTAGTGTAACTATGTTTAATTGTCACTCGATTAAATGGATAATGTAACAATTAACTCATTAGGAATTTGGGGCACCACGGAATAAGTTGTTTAACGAGTTACCATCTCCGAATTAAACTCTTAGAAGATATATATGTTATATATCGATAACAGTCACTTATCAAATATTTGCCTCTCATCAGTCTCATTCTTAACATCGCATAATCCTTGAACCTGCAAGAACCCTAACCTTATTGATGAATCAGCAATACACACATTTTCTTAATTATTTATTTACTAACTAACTAAATAATAACACAATACAAACACACACATAGGTTATTGATTACTAAAGTAATACAATGAAAACAGGTCCCTAGTGGACTGGACTAACATTAGCGTGAATGTTTGGGTAGAAGGAGGGTCAGAGTGGAAGGGAGAAAGAGATTCAAACTATCGTGGTTACTTTGGAAACTACGCTCATTCGGATTAGAAATGCAACATGTATTTACGTGTAGCTGTCCTCGATAGTAGTTGAGTTGATGATGTAGGACTCTGGTTTGCCCACCAGAGATCCCAATGTCCTTGGTAGAGCTTCTGGTCGTAGTGGTGATTAGAATGGATACTTCAGATGTACCAGCGGTTGTCTGAGAGGGATTATTCTTCCCACCTCGTGTCTTTAGTGAAAGTTCTCTCGACGACTATACATGCCAACTGCAGACTGAAATGATAAGGTCTAGTGCATTGTCTTCTTCTTCACCTCGTGTAGAGGTTGAGAGTTTCAGAGTTTCTCCATTTCAAACGTGTGGACTAACGTCTCACGTTTTCTGGTCTTTTTGGTCTAACCATTTTGTAACTTGCAGCTTCAGCTTCATGCTTCTTGGTCTTGTAGAAATTCAACCATTTGCAATGTTTAGCTCACGCTTCACGTCTGCTGGTCTTGTAGACTGTCAACCATTTTAAGCCGTGGGCTTCCTGGTCTGAGTTGAATTCAACCATTTGCAACGTTTAGCTCACGCTTCACGTCTGCTGGTCTAAGGTGAATTTTGTCATGAGGCTTTTTATGCACTCGGGGTAAAAGGGGCATTCCATCATGTTTGTGCTCATCTGGGCGTGTCCTCTGTCCTCTGGTCCTATGTAGCTCAGTTGGTAGAGCATGGCGCTTGTAACGCCAGGGTAGTGGGTTCGATCCCCGGGACCACCCATACGTAAAAATGTATGCACACATGACTGTAAGTCGCTTTGGATAAAAGCGTCTGCTAAATGGCGTATTATTATCTAGAATGCTAAAATCACATTGTTATAGTCACAAAAGTATTATTATACTTAATCATTCGTTTTATACAACAATTAGATGCAAACCTCAAAACTGGGAAGTGTAGCCCCCCAGAGATACAGTTATGTTGTTCCACCGTCTTTAATGACATCACTACATAGTAAAGAATTTGACATGATTGTTCTTTAAGTCCCCACCAACCATTTCCCACATTCTTTTAAGTAGGAATATTGTTTCATTATCCACTTTTGGATGTTGGAGTCTTGGCGGGAAGACTTCCTTTGTTAACAAAGGGGTCCTTTCTCCCAATACTTCATGGCAAGGAAGAGAAAGTCTGCACGGTATTTACGACCGGTCATAAAACTGGCCCCCAGGAAAGGGGGTGTTCAAACCTTTGCCTAGCCGGCATGTTTGATCCTCAACCCATGAGGGCAAGTCGTGACACCTACATCCCAAATGCCACCCTATTCCCTATGTAGTGCACTACTTTTGACCAGGGCCCATAGAGCTCTGGTGAGAAGAAGGATTGAGAGAAGAAGAGGGTACTCATGTCACTACCTCAGAAGTAATTGAACATGGCTGAACTTTGAGTATCCCACTGTTATGTTCTAAAAAATGGGGTTTACAAAGACTCAGACTGTGTTAATTTTTGGTTTCTATTGTATGGTTTTAATGATTAAGGTTTAATTTATTGAAACTAAAGAAAATAAGTGATAAACAATAATACAGATATAAACAAATGAATAAAAAATGGTGTGCAGGTGTGGTTGGAAGCCCAAGGACTTATATAAAAACCACACCACAAAAAAACAATATACAATACGTAAGTACAAAAATAAAAAAGGTTTCTTAAAACAGATAACAAAACTCACTAATCATAAATGTACAAATTAACTGATCAGCATTAACAAAAAATTATAAACTGTATATGTTTTGTTGAAATGTGTGTGTGCATGTGTGCATGTGTGGATGTGAGTGTGTGAGAGTTGGGCTATATGGAGGAAATTACTGAGTAGTTTGGTTCATCAGGCTGAACCTCAGTCTTCACTTGAAGTTATTGAGGGATGATGAGGTTTTGGCAATGTGAATATAAGAATTCCAGAGTATGGTACCTCTGTATCTGATAGAGAATTGACTATGTGAGGTGAGGCAGTGGGGAGGATGAAGGTTATCGCAGTGTCTTATATAGATGGATTTCAGAATTAACCTGGAAGAATCCATTGAAGGGTTTAGGTAAACTGTCTGGGAGGTATGAGTATTTGTAGATGAAAATGCATAATTGGCATACATTGATGTCGTAAATAGACAAGATATTGACTCTTAAACAAAGGTGCAGATGGAGCCAGGTAATTAGAGGAGGTGGCTAGCCTTGCAAATGTATTTTGTATGATGAGTAATTTGTGTAGGTAGGAGGCATATGTACTGGCCCAGTCAATTTTACAGTAAATGAGAGATGGGTCAATTAAGCTATAGTAAAGAGTTAGGAAGCAAGCCTGATGAACCAAACCACTAATCTTTCTGATGATACCAACAGATTTCATCACTTTGCTGCAGACAAATTGAATATGATCTTTCCAGGATAACTTTTCATCAATTAGAACTCCAAGGAATCTAGTGGATGTTACTTGTTCCATTTCATTCGCACCAATTGATTGGATTATACAGTTGGTTTTACTCTCAAAGATTTCAAAGATCTTGACTTACTTAAAGGAAAGTTATACTCAAAAACTATATTTTGGTATTTGTTTCATTAGTTCACTGTTGATACAGTCCCAAAGTGTTTTGCATGTCAGCAATCAAGTTTTATAGAACTTTCAAAATACAGAAAGTGTCACAGTATGATGTGTTTCTTTTATTTTTATTCATCCAATGAATGCACTGATTGTAAATCCCTAAATGACTCAAATCCCTCAGACAATGGTCCAGCAGGCAGCAGGAGGACAGGCACAGCCACAGTGTTTGTTGAAGTACTGGACGTGAACGACAACAGACCCATCTTCCTCCAGAACAGCTATGAGACCAGCATACTGGAGAATGTCCCCATAGGATACAGCATCCTGCAGGTACACAGGCAGGCTGACACGCGCGGGGCACGTATGTACACACAATCATACACATGAATGTAGGTATGCACGCACGCATACACACTCATGCATGCACACACACAGACATGTGCACACATAGACATACATATACACACAAACATACACATGGATATACAGTTGAAGTCGGAAGTTTACATACACTTAGGTTGGAGTCATTAATACTCGTTTTTCAACCACTCCACAAATGTATTGTTAACAAACTATAGTTTTGGCAAGTCGGTTAGGACATCTACTTTGTGCATGACACAAATAATTTTTCCAACAATTGTTTACAGACAGATTATTTCACTTATAATTATGTATCACAATTCCAGTGGGTCAGAAGTTTACATACACTAAGTTGACTGTGCCTTTAAACAGCTTGGAAAATTCCAGAAAATGATGTCATGGTTTAGAAGCTTCTGATAGGCTAATTGACATCATTTGAGTCAATTGGAGGTGTACCTGTGGATGTATTTCAAGGCCTTCCTTCAAACTCAGTGCCTCTTTGCTTAACATCATGGGAAAATCAAAATAAATCAGCCAAGACCTCAGAAAAATAATTGTAGACCTCCACAAGTCTGGTTCATCCTTGGGAGCAATTTCCAAACGCCTGAAGGTACCACGTTCATCTGTACAAACAATAGTACGCAAGTATAAACACCATGGGACCAAGGCTACCCGAAACGTTTGTGTCAGTGTTGATGTGGATGCGGTTGAGGAGTCAGACACAGGACGCATAGGCTGAGTCAAACAATACTTTACTAACTGTAGAAAACAATACAAAATAAAGGACCTCAAAACAAGGAGGCGAGCGACAACGCAACACAGTGTGTCACAATAAACAAAGTCCAGAGTACTGCACAGGTGACACCAACGGACAGGCGGAAAATAACACACAAACTAACGAAAACAACACAGGAAACTTATAGGGCACATAATCAGACCCAAACGGACACAGGTGTAACAGACAGACCCAACCAAACGAACATCGAAACATTCAACGGTGGCAGCTAGTACTCCGGGGACGACGAACGCCGAAGCCTGCCCGAGCAAGGAGGAGGAGCAGTCTCGGCAGAATTCGTGACAGTTTGACCCAAGTTAAACAATTTAAAGGCAATGCTACCAAATACTAATTGAGTGTATGTAAACTTCTGACCCACTGGGAATGTGATGAAAGAAATAAAGCTGAAAGAAATCATTCTCTCTACTATTATTCTGACATTTCACATTCTTAAAATAAAGTGGTGGTCCTAACTGACATAAGACAGGGATTTTTTACTAGGTTTAAAAGTCAGGAATTGTGAAAGACTGAGTTTAAATGTATTTGGCTAAGGTGTATATAAACTTCTGACTTCAACTGTACCTACACACACACACACACACACACACACACACACACACACACAATATAAACTTGAGAAAAGCTTTTTATTTTCTAAAACAAACTACATTTTAATACAATAAAAGAATAACACAAACTGTTCTACACTCTTAGAAAAAAAGGTGCTATCTAGAACCTAAACAGGTTCTTCGGCTGTCCCCATAGGATAACCCTTTGAATAACCCTTTTTGGTTCATGGTAGAACCCTTTTGGTTCCATGCAAAACCCTCTTGGGTTCCAAGTAGAACCCTCTGTGAAAAGGGTTCTACCTGGAACCCAAAAAGGTTCTACCTGGAACCAAAAAGGGTTCTACCTGGAACCAAAAAGGATTATCCTATGGGGACAACCGAATAACCCTTTTGGAACTGTTTTTTTATAAGAATGTAGCTAATAATACAACAATCAAAATGTACGAAACAATTCACATCATCCACAGAGGCTGGTATCCCTTTTGGAAGAACCTTGGGCTTGCACATGCTTCTCTTGTCAATAACAACATCGTCCAAATAACCACATGGACTGGTGGAGTAAAGGTTATCTTGAAGTTAGGGTTTGGTCAGAAGTTAGTGTTATTGTTTATATAGCAGTACATCCATGAACATGCAGGACTGGGGTCAAGTCTGAGTGTTGTGGTCAAGTTACAGTCAAAGCGGTCATCTCCATGACCGGGCCTGCGTTCATCTCACGATCAGAGCGTGGTCATATCTCTGTAACATAGTCAAACAGGCAGGGCATGGTAAGGTGGGGCGTTGGTGAGCTGCTGTGGTCAGGTTGCGGTCTGGTTGGGGAGCAGTGGGTGCTGCAGTTGGACCTGCGCTGGGGCGGTCGTCTGAATGAGGAGGTGAATGACCGCCGTACAGAGCCCAGCCTCTTCCACAGCTTGAGCTGGGGCTCCGATGACAGAGAAGGCCCGCAGACCAGGGACTCGCCTGAACTACAGCCCCCATCTGAGTCCTCCTCTGTCTGGGTTGACGACCCACGACACACGGCCAGGAAGATAGCACAGGCAGCCAGGAGCAGGGACAGGCCTAGCACCACCATGATGGTCAGCAATGGGTCGTGAGGCTCTGATGGCAGGGGGGAGGAAGAGAGGGAGGTGGGCAGGCTGGATAGGTTGAAAGGTAATGGTGATTCTGTGAAAGAAGGGGTGGAGGAGATGTTGACCGCTAGATCACTGGTGGTGTTCATGGTCGCCAAGTTCTGGAATGGAGAGAAGTCATGAGGAGGAGGTTAGATGAGAAGTGTGTGGACATCTGTGTGTGTTGGGGCGGTCTGCTTGTGAGTGTGTGCGTGCGTGTGTGTGCGGGCACGTGTGTGTGCACCAGTCTCTTTCAGAGTGCCACAGCAGCTCTCTTGATATGGGAAGTCTTGCCTTATTATCCAAGCTAAACCAAGCTGACTTAGGCCTTTTTAGGAGGGGTTATTACCATCATACCCTGAAGGAGTTGCAACACACACACACACACACACACACACAAATGTCATAGTCTTTAATTCGGTAGAGACAAAGCATGCCTTGTCAGTTTAGGGGGAAACACATTGGGACGTGAAATTAGTTTTAAGACCAAATGCCAGCGAAGCTGTGTGGAAAGGCCACTGGAGCAGCCATCATCTCGTTAGTCACCGCCACCCAACACACACTCGCTCACACACACACACACTCTCAGACGCAAGATATTGAATCCAAACTCTCTTACAGTATACACCCACCCACAAACAAACCACAAACTCTAGAGAGTTCAGACATCTTCCACTGTCCAACATCCACTCACTCTCTCATATTGACTGTGACTCCATACTTAGATGCATGCACTCATACTGACCCAAACACACATTCACCCATGTGGGCATAACACAAATAAGCACGTCAGCAAACACACATACATGTTATATGCACACACACACACACACACACACACACACACACACACACAAACACACACACACACACTCTTTACCTTTTTCAGTCACATCCAGTATTTGTGAGTCAAACTTTTTCCTGCTTCCACGTTATTTTTCTTCCTCACACTGCCTTTTTAAGAAAGTGTTAGGGAATGCAGAGAGAAGAAAGAGGGGACAGAGAGGACAAGGGGGTAACAGGACAGTGATCAAAACATAGTCTCTTTGTTTTCCACTGGTAGAGCCTAAAACAATGGTCAATTTCCAACACTTTCTAAGAGCTTAGAAATGTATCTCCCAACACTAACACTGCAAATGCTTAAATTCACAACATATGGGCTTAGTAACACGAACTGGGAATCTCTGCACCCCTTTTATAGCCAAAGTGGTGCAGTCCACTGTGTAATACCCTATTCATCAATCTGACCCCCCACTCTCTTTTCTCCCATCTCACCCCTCCCCTCTCCTCCTCTTTCTCTTCTCCTCTCTTTATAAAGCTAATGAAACTGAAACAGGGCCCCTCTTTTCACGCAGGGAGCAAGAGAGAGAGAGGAAGGGAGGGTGTGTGTGTGTGTGTGTGTGTGTGTGTTTGAACACGTTTGTGTCTGTCTGTGGGTGTGGGTGTGGATGTGCATGCATGCTTGTGCACGCATCTGTCTAGGAATATCCACAGGTCCTACAAGCAGAGTATGATCAGGGCCTGCTCAGTCTCATCTTGCTTCATCATCTCTGTGCCTTTTTTTAGTTCAGAACTCTATTCAGTATATTATACTCAGTATAATGTCATGGCCCATTCTGTAGCAGCTCAGCATGCCTCACTAGTGATCTGTGTGGAGCCATGCTGTCTCTGATGTGTTTTTGTCTTTGGCTGCTCTGGCTCCATGCCTGCCTGTCAGAGAGAGAGAGAGGGAGAGTGAACAAGAGAGAAAGGAGGTAGACTGGTAGAGGGAGAGAGAGATGGGGTGTAGAGAGGGTGTGAGAGAAAGAGACAAAGAGAGAGAGATGGGAAAGAAGAGAGTGAGTTAGGGAGATTGAGAGTGAGGGAGAGAGAAGTGAAAGAGAGAGAGGGGAAGGGATAAAGACAGAGAGAGAGAAATCTCCATTGTGGAATCGTTGCCAGGGCCATGATGCAGTTGTTGTGGCAACCATGGGACAAAACAGAATTTGGAGGGGGTGGGGGGGTCACTAGCATGTTAGTACGTGTGTGTGTATGTCTATATGAAGGTCAGCGTCTGTGTGTGTGTTTGTGTGCATGCCTGTGTTCGCACATGTGTGTGTGTGTACATGTGTGTAAATGTTTATCTACTGTATCTATGTAGGCCTATTGGTGTGTGGTTTCAAGTCACTGTGGTTGTAAATTAGTATAATGGCTGCATATGCCTTTGCTATTAACATGTGTTAAGTTTTGTTGTGTGTTTTTGTGTGCAGGTGCAAGCCACAGATTCAGACCAGGGGGAGAACGGTAGGGTTCTGTACAGGATCCTCTCTGGTGAGTACAACTTCTTCCATCCTCTTCCGAGTCGCCAGGTGGTGATACTTTTCACACCTACTCACAGGCCTCACCGCACACAAACAACTAAACACAAAAGACTGTCAACAACAACACTGCATGCTAATCATATCCTGCATGCATAATCATAACCTTATTTGAAGTCATACGGTATTAGCCATTTAACTGCTCAATGATACATTTGAAAGATGCAGTGTCAAGTGGGTATTACTTGATCTGGATAGATTCCGATTACAATGTTAGTGATATTGTAGTATAAATATTTGAATGTACTGTATATCAATACCCTCATGGCCATCCTGCATGGAATCACTCTTAACCCCCAGCTAACCTCTCTCTTTCCATTTCTCCCTGTCTTGCACCCCTCCCCCTCTCTCCCTCTCTTTCGCTCTCCTCCTCTCCCACCCCCTCTCCCCCGCACCCCAACTCTCTCTCTCTCTCTCTCTCTCTCTCTCTCTCTCTTCTCTCTCTCTCTCTCTCTCTCTCTCTCTCTCTCTCTCTCTCTCTCTCTCTCTCTCTCTCTGTCTCTATCTGTGTGTGTCTCCCTATATCTCTCTCTCTGTCTGCATGTGTAGGCAACAGTAAGGGTCTGTTCAGGATTAATGAGCTCTCGGGGCTTGTGATGCGGGGCCAGAGGGCTCTGGACAGAGAGAGCAGCAGCTCCCATGTGCTGGAGGTGGAGGCCTACAACAGTGACCAGGGCAGGATGAGGAGCTCTGTACGGGTAAGGAGAGTAGGAGGGGTGAGGAAGGAGGAGAGGGAGAGGGGGGACAGGGAAGGAGGAGAGACAGGGGAGGGAGAGGGGACAGGGCTGGAGGTGGAGGCCGACAACAGTGACCAGGGCAGGATAATGAGCTCTGTGCGAGTGAGGAGAGGACAGGGGAGGGTAATGGGAGGGGGGACAGAGCTGGAGGAGGAGTCCTGGGTCGTTCCACCAATTCGGTGCCTTTTGAGAAGTGTAACTTGGTAAAACAAACTTTAATTTAAGCTAATTTTAACATTCTGTTATAAAGTCACTTGTTGCCAGTGACTAGGGGGGAGGGGCTGGTCAAACTCAAAACAAAATGCACCCCCCAAAGTAAAAAATATTTTCACATGACCCTCTCCTTGTACTGTAAAATAAATTGAACACCCTCCCCCCTCATAGAATTAACTCAAAATAATGTTTACGACCACAAATAACAATAACTGTAGCGACCCTTTGTTTATAAACGTGGATATCGACTTTGCCACTTCAGCATGCTTTTGTGGCACATTCGATGCCACGCAGGGCTATGGGCCAGAAGGTTGAGGGTTCGCTGACCACCACAGACGAGCTCACTCTCCCTGCCTGTTTTATTACTTCATGATCAGAGCTGGCTGGAGTCAATGATCAGCTAGAGGGAAATCAGATTTTCAACATTTTGATGCCATATTTATAATTATATAAAATACTGGAAATGCAACAAATGTTCCACCAATAGGTTTCTGTGCCAATGCACCACACAACCAATAAACAAAGCATACCTACTTCGGGCACTTCAATATCATGGTTTGCGTTTTCAACACCACAATAAATAGACTATGTCAATCTCTGCAAACAGAAAATACATCCCTCCCTACCTTATAGGCTTACCCAGTATCGAAGGCTTGGCTTGACAATCTCCGAATGTCATTCAACTTTTTGGTGTTTTGTAACAGAAGTCTCTTTCCATTCATCAATTGGCCGCTGCACAGTTTGGATTGATTGATTGATTTTATTTGTCAGTTAAGAAAATACATATTTTTTAAGTGATTGCACAATAAAGATATGGACTTATTTCCATTGTGGTCCCTATTTTGTTTACATAAATATATATACAATTACATAGATACAGACACATTACAGAGATAGAGATGAAAAAATGCTCAACCTCCAGATGAGTATGAGGGAAGAGTTTAAGTACAATTATTTTGAACTTGTTTGGCTGGTAGCTTATTCTTTAGATGTTTGAGGCTGCTGATGAACCATGATGTTCAGGCATAATCAGAGTAACACTGGACTAGCGCACTTGCCAGAGTCATTAGTGTGTCTAAAGCTAGGTTTCCATACAATTGGTGACAGATTTTCATGTGAATATTCAAAGATCTTAATAAGAACAATATGCCATTTCAGAGTTTCCTTTAGGAACATTTGGCACCAGACAACATGACAGGGAAGATGTTAATTTACCTGAAATTTGAGACATTCAATGGATATCCATATGCATTCAGATTCAACTTGGCGCAGCCAGCGCCATCAGTAAATGGGGATGTTGGCCAAGTGAGCCACATTTACGTGTCCTTAAAAACAGCCTATAACAAATTACAAAAACACTATTCCTTGTGTTTCGATGTGTAGCATATGCAAACCTTTATAGCCTATTTTATTGTGTTTTTTAGGCTACTTTCCTAAAACAATAATTGTCCACCTCACGGTTCAGATGTCAGAGATTTGACCACTAAATGTATCAGCACACTGCATGCAAAGGCTTAGGTGTCCACTGTATGATTATTATATTCATATTTGTATGTTATATGTTATAAAATTGATTTGCATTTTAATGAGGGAAATAAGTATTTGACCCCCTCTCAATCAGAAAGATTTCTGGCTCCCAGGTGTCTTTTATACAGGTAACGAGCTGAGATTAGGAGCACACTCTTAAAGGGAGTGCTCCTAATCTCAGTTTGTTACCTGTATAAAAGACACCTGTCCACAGAAGCAATCAATCAATCAGATTCCAAACTCTCCACCATGGCCAAGACCAAAGAGCTCTCCAAGGATGTCAGGGACAAGATTGTAGACCTACACAAGGCTGGAATGGGCTACAAGACCATCGCCAATCAGCTTGGTGAGAAGGTGACAACAGTTGGTGTGATTATTCGCAAATGGAAGAAACACAAAAGAACTGTCAATCTCCCTCGGCCTGGGGCTCCATGCAAGATCTCACCTCGTGGAGTTGCAATGATCATGAGAAGGGTGAGGAATCAGCCCAGAACTAAACGAGAGGATCTTGTCAAGGATCTCAAGGCAGCTGGGACCATAGTCACCAAGAAAACAATTGGTAACACACTACGCCGTGAAGGACTGAAATCCTGCAGCGCCCGCAAGGTCCCCATGCTCAAGAAAGCACATATACAGGGCCGTCTGAAGTTTGCCAATGAACATCTGAATGATTCAGAGGAGAACTGGGTGAAAGTGTTGTGGTCAGATGAGACCAAAATCGAGCTCTTTGGCATCAACTCAACTCGCCGTGTTTGGAGGAGGAGGAATGCTGCCTATGACCCCAAGAACACCATCCCCACCGTCAAACATGGAGGTAGAAACATTATGCTTTGGGGGTGTTTTTCTGCTAAGGGGACAGGACAACTTCACCGCATCAAAGGGACGATGGACGGGGCCATGTACCGTCAAATCTTGGGTGAGAACCTCCTTCCCTCAGCCAGGGCATTGAAAATGGGTCGTGGATGGGTATTCCAGCACGACAATGACCCAAAACACATGGCCAAGGCAACAAAGGAGTGGCTCAAGAAAAAGCACATTAAGGTCCTGGAGTGGCCTAGTCAGTCTCCAGACCTTAATCCCATAGAAAATCTGTGGAGGGAGCTGAAGGTTCGAGTTGCCAAACATCAGCCTCGAAACCTTAATGACTTGGAGAAGATCTGCAAGAGGAGTGGGACAAAATCCCTCCTGAGATGTGTGCAAACCTGGTGGCCAACTACAAGAAACGTCTGACCTCTGTGATTGCCAACAAGGGTTTTGCCACGAAGTACTAACAGAGGGGTCAAATACTTATTTCCCTCATTAAAATGCAAATCAATTTATAACATTTTTGACATGCATTTTTCTGGATTTTTGTTGTTGTTATTCTGTCTCTCACTGTTCAAATAAACCTACCATTAAAATTATAGACTGATCATGTCTTTGTCAGTGGACAAACTTACAAAATCAGCAGGGGATCAAATAATTTTTTCCCTCACTGTAAGTCATGTTTTGCAGAGGGGTCAAATACTTATTTCCCTAATTGAAATGCAAATCAATTTATAACATTTTTGACATGCGTTTTTCTGGATTTTTTTGTTGTTATTCTGTCTCTCACTGTTCAAATAAACCTACCATTAAAATTATAGACTGATCATGTCTTTGTCAGTGGGCAAGCATACAAAATTAGCAGCGGATCAAATACTTTTTTCCCTCACTGTAAGTCATGTTTTGCAGAGGGGTCAAATTCTTATTTCCCTAATTGAAATGCAAATCAATTTATAACATTTTTGACATGCGTTTTTCTGGATTTTTTTGTTGTTATTCTGTCTCTCACTGTTCAAATAAACCTACCATTAAAATTATAGACTGATCATATCTTTGTCAGTGGGCAAACGTACAAAATCAGCAGGAGATCAAATACTTTTTTCCCTCACTGTATATATATATACATACAGTACCAATCAAATGTTTGGACACACCTACTCATTCAAGGGTTTTTCTTTATATTTACTATTTTCTACATTGTAAAATAATAGTGAAGATATCAAAACTATGAAATAACACATATGGAATCATGTAGTAAAAAAAAAAGTGTTAAACAAATCAAGATATATTTTATATTTGAGATTCTTTAAATAGCCACCCTTTGCCTTGATGACTGCTTTGCACACTGGTAAACTAGCCCTTACACAGCCTGGAGGTGTGTTGGGTCATTGTCCTGTTGAAAAGCAAATGATAGTCCCACTAAGCCCAAACCAGATGGGATGGCGTATCGCTGCAGAATACTGTGGTAGCCATGCTGGTTAAGTGTGCCTGGAATCCTAAATAAATCACAGACAGTGTCACCAGCAAAGCACCCCCACACCATAACACCTCCTCCTCCATGCTTTACGGTGGGAACTACACGTGCGGAGATCATCCGTTCTCCCACACCGCGTCTCACAAAGACATGGTGGTTGGAACCAAAAATCTCAAATTTGGACTCCAGACCAAAGGACAAATTTCCACCGGTCTAATGTCCATTGCTCATGTTTCTTGGCCCAAGCAGGTCTATTCTTCTTATTGGTGTCCTTTAGTAGTGCTTTCTTTGTAGCAATTCAACCATGAAGGCCTGATTCACACAGTCCCCTCTGAACAGTTGATGTTGAGATGTGTCTGTGACCTGAACTCTGAAGCATTTATTTGGGCTGCAATTTTTAGAGGCTGGTAACTCTAATGAACTCTGAGGCTGGTAACTCTGGGTCTTCCATTCCTGTGGCGGTCCTCATGAGAGCCAGTTTCATCGTAGCGCTTGATGGTTTTGCGACTGCACTTTAAGAAACTTTCAAAGTTCTTGAAATGTTCCGTATTGGCTGACCTTCATATCTTAAAGTAATAATGGACTGTCGTTTCTCTTCGCTTATTTGAGATGTTCTTGCCATAATATGGACTTGGTCTTTTACCAAATAGGGTTATCTTCTGTATACCACCCCTACCTTGTCACAACACAACTGATTGGCTCAAACGCATTAAGAAGGAAATCAATTTCACAAATTAACTTTTAAGAAGGAACACCTGTTAATTGAAATGCATTCCAGGTGACTACCTCATGAAGCTGGTTGAGAGAATGCCAAGAGTGTGCAAAGCTGTCATCAAGGCAAAGGGTGGCTATTTGAAGAATCTGAAATATAAAATATATTTTGATTTGTTTAAAACTTATTTGGTTACTACATGATTCCACGTGTGTTATTACATAGTTTTGATGTCTTCACTATTATTCTACAATGTAGAAAATAGTACAATTAAAGAAAAACCCTTGAATGAGTAGGTGTGTCCAAACTTTTCTTATATCTCTCAGGTATAGGATAGATACTTCAAAACAAACTTCCTTTTGATACATTTTTGGACTATCTGTTTTGCCATGTACAGAATGAATATGTTATTAAATGCATTTCTATGGGCTAATAGCTGTAAGGCCGAATTGTATGTTTCATCAAATCATTTTTGTATATACTGTATATATTTTATACTTACAGGGGTCCTACAATTCAAAATCAAATACTGTAGCTAAATGGTCCTTGGTATGACCATCTTAAAACAATTCCATATGTTAGCTTAGTATAAACCCAGCCCCCGATCCTAGGGGTTTTTAAGGGCGCTTTATTTAATATAACAGGCTTTTCAAATTCAATATTGGTGCACAATTTCTACTTAAAATATCAAAAAAAGGCACTCATTTTGTGTAACGACAATAGTGACCAAGGCAGGATAAGGAGCTCTGTACGAGTGAGGCGGGGAGAGGGGGGATTGTGTCTAAATATAGTGGATAGGGAAAGAAGGGAGGGGAGAGGGAACATGGCGGAACATAGAAGAGGAGACTGTTGGGGTCATACATATGGCAGGAAAAAGGAGAGGATATTAGGTAGGATTTAGAAAAGAGCTTAGAGGAGATGGTGGTGTATTGTTATGTTAGTGTTTTGAAAGCGCTGCAAAATCTGGACCCCTACAAATCAGCTGGGCTAGACAATCTGGACCCTTTCTTTCTAAAACTAGCCGCCGAAATTGTCGCAACCCCTATTACTAGTCTGTTCAACCTCTCTTTCATAACGTCTGAGATCCCCAGAGATTGGAAAGCTGCCGCGGTCATCCCCCTCTTCAAAGGGGGTGACACTCTAGATCCAAACTGCTACAGACCTATATCCATCCTGCCCTGCCTTTCGAAAGTATTCGAAAGCCAAGTTAACAAACAGATCATCGACCATTTCGAATACCACCGTACCTTCTCCGCTATGCAATCCGGTTTCCGAGCTGGTCACGGGTGCACTTCAGCCACGCTCAAGGTCCTAAACGATATTATAACCGCGATTGATAATAGACAGTACTGTGCAGCCGTCTTCATCGACCTGGCCAAGGCTTTCGACTCTGTCAACCACCGCATTCTTATTGGCAGACTAAATAGCCTTGGTTTCTCAAATGACTGCCTCGCCTGGTTCACCAACTACTTCTCAGATAGAGTTCAGTGTGTCAAATCGGAGGGCCTGTTGTCTGGACCTATGGCAGTCTCTATGGGGGTGCCACAGGGTTCAATTCTTGGGCAGACACTTTTCTCCGTGTATATCAATGATGTCGCTCTTGCTGCTGGTGACTCTCAGATCCACCTCTACGCAGACGACACCATTTTGTATACATCTGGCCCTTCATTGGACACTGTGTTAACAAACCTCCAAACGAGCTTCAATGCCATACAACAATCCTTCAGTAGCCTTCAACTGCTCTTAAACACTAGTAAAACTAAATGCATGCTTTTCAATCGAACGCTGCTAGCACCCGCCCACCCGACTAGAATCACCACTCTCGACGGGTCTGACCTAGAGTATGTGGACAACTACAAATATCTAGGTGTCTGGTTAGACTGTAAACTCAACTTCCAGACTCACATAAAGAATCTCCAATCCAAAGTTAAATCTAGAATCGGCTTCCTATTTCGCAACAAAGCCTCCTTCACTCATGCTGCCAAACATGCCCTCGTAAAACTGACTATCCTACCGATCCTTGACTTCGGCGATGTCATTTACAAAATAGCCTCCAACACTCTACTCAGCAAATTGGATGTAGTCTATCACAGTGCCATCCGTTTTGTCTCCAAAGCCCCATACACTACCCACCACTGTGACCTGTACGCTCTTGTTGGCTGGTCCTCACTACATGTCCGTCGTCAAACCCACTGGCTCCAGGCCATCTATAAATCACTGCTAGGCAAATCCCCGCCTTATCGTAGCTCATTGGTCACCATAGCAGCACCCACCCGTAGTCTGCGCTCCAGCAGGTATATCTCACTGGTCATTCCCAAAGCCAACACCTCCTTTGGCCGCCATTCCTTCCAGTTCTCTGCTGCCAATGACTGGAACGAATTGCAAAAATCTCTGAAGCTGGAGACTCTTATCTCCCTCAATAACTTTAAGCATCAGTTGTCAGAGCACCTTACCGATCACTGCACCTGTACACAGCCCATCTGAAATTAGCCCACCCAACTACCTCATCCCTATATTGTTATTTATTTTGCTCTTTTGCACCCCAGTATCTCTATTTGCACATAATCTCTTGCACATCTAGCATTCCAGTGTTAATACTATTGTAATTATTCTGCACTATAGCCTATTTATTGCCTTACCTCCATAACTTGCTACATTTGCACACACTGTATATATATTTTCTGTTGTATTTCTGACTTTATGTTTTTTTTACCCCATATGTAACTCTGTGTTGTTTTTATTGCACTACTTTGCTTTATCTTGGCCAGGTCGCAGTTGTAAATGAGAACCTGTTCTCAACTGGCTTACCTGGTTAAATAAAGGTGAAATAAAAATAAAAAAAATATTGGGAGAGAAGAGGGTGTGGGACAGGATATACTAGAGTTTACTGTTAGAGTAGAGTATGGTGCAAAAGGGTAAGGGCTGCAGTGGAGGACACCTGTGAGGATCTTGTGAGCAGTTGTCCAGCTACTTCTCTGACTCCCAGGGTCTCTGTCTTCCACTACAGGTGATAGTGTATGTGGAGGATGCCAACGACGAGGCACCAGTATTCACCCAGCAGCAGTACAACCGCCTGGGTCTGAGGGAGACCGCTGGCATTGGCACCTCTGTCATCGTTGTCCGAGCTACAGACCCTGACACCGGTGAGTGTTGTAGTGTAACATGATGTACTACAGTACCCATAACCCTCTGTACAAGCTGGTTTTATTGATAATATATACATTATATAATGTACACTAGTACTGTATGTATTGATAAGGAAACGGGACAACATTATGTTAGCTTTATTTCCTAAAATAAAACAGAATATTCTGTACAGAGCATTATGGGTACTGTAGTACATGTGACAGGTGTTTCCCTCAATAAGCCAATGAAGTGGGGGTGTTAGAGGGCTCCATAGTTATTGGTGATATATGACTCGCATACAGCTTTTATACTAAGTTGTATTGTTCTGTCTGCCCCTGGTAATGAAACTGGCAATGAGTGCCATTAATCTGAGAGGCATTTGACAATCCACTTCTGCTGTGTGGGCTTACTCTATACACTTCCTGTCCTGTAATGTGTAGCACAAACACTGTGTGGGAACTGTTGTTGTGATGTTGACAGTTTTACCAAAACACTGCAACTTTGGTCTACATCACCTCTGAGGACACAAAGATGTCATACCCTGCCCACATGTCATGGAAAAGTCCCTTTGTTAGAGCAGAATATAGTTTTTTGGTTATACATTTTAGATAGGTATGTGTAGCAATGCATGGCTACATACTTTATTTTTTGTACATTTAGCATTTTTTTGTCTTCTCTCTCTTGTTTTGCCTCCCTTTGCCCAACCTCCTTCCCTCTATGCCTCTACCTGTCTTTCCCTCTCCTCCCCCTATCCTCCAATACCTCCATCCAGGTGATGGCGGGGCGGTGGCCTACGCCCTGGACTCTGGCTCCGACCGTAAGTTCGATGTGGACGTGAGCACGGGCCTGGTGACCACTGTAGACTACCTAGACTACGAGACCAAGACCAGCTACCTGATGAATGTGTCGGCTACCGACCAGGCGCCGCCGTTCCACCGTGGCTTCTGCACGGTCTACGTGACCTTACTTAATGAGCTGGACGAGGCGGTGGCGTTCTTCTCGGCGGGCTACGAGGTGTCGCTCCTGGAGAACATCGCCACAGGAACGGAGGTGGTGCAGGTGCAGGCACGGTCGGCGGACAACCTCAACCAACTGTCATATCGCTTCGACCCGGACACGTCGCCAGCCGCCCTGGCCCTCTTCAAGATCGACAGTATCACAGTGAGTCAGTGGACAGCCTGGGGTGTAAAACCGTATTAGCATGTCTCACTCTTATTGGACAGTAGGGTTAAGGTCAATTCCATTTCAATTCAGGAAGTAAAGAGCAAATCCAATTAGGATTTTCCCTTGAAAAGCATTCTTCCTGAATGGACTGAATTGAAATGGAATTTAACTCCAACCATGTTGGATGCTGTACACTCTGCTCAGCATTGGATTATACTGTATATATTTCAAACTTAGATAAATCAGGTTGCTTGTTAATGTGTTTTACTCCTTTCTCCCTCTCTTTCGCCTTCTCCCTCCATCTATCTGTCCATCCCCAGGGCCGTATCACAGTCACGGGGCTGCTTGACAGGGAGAAGGGGGACCTCTACACCCTGACTGTAGTGGCTGACGATGGGGGACCCAAAAAAGACTCCACTGTGGTACGGCAGTCGCTTCTTTCTTTCTTTCTTTCTTTCTTTCTTTATTTCTTCTTGTTTTGACAGTAGTTGCTTGTCCATTTTTATTCCCGGTTGTCAGGTCTCATCTGTTTTCAATAATAAACTGCTTAAAGGTCTCCCGAGTGGCGCAGTGGTCTAAGGTAGCTGTGCCACTAGAGATCCTGGTTCGAATCCAGGCTCTGCTATAGCTGGCCGCAACCGGGAGACCAATGGGGCGGCGCACAGTTGTCCAGGGTAGGGGAGGGAATGGCAGGCAGGGAGGTAGCTCAGTTGATAGAGCATGGCGTTTGCAACGCCAGGGTTGTGGGTTCGTTTCCCACGGGGGGCCAGTATGAAAATAATAATGTATGCACTAACTGTAAGTCGCTCTGGATAAGAGCGTCAGCTAAATGACGTAAATGTAAGTGTTAAAGATGTTTTTATCTGTTCTGTTGTAGAAATGGTCAGTTAATGTCAATCTTTATTTTCACCTTGTTACTGCTATCTCATGGGGAAATTGCAGAAGGTAAGTGTTGCTTTCCTTCTTCAGTCTGGATTACTGTTTTAATTCAACATTTTAATTCAAAGCTTAATGGAGTGTGTGTGTGTGTATGTGTATGTCACAAATGTAGTTTTTACATTATTTTTCAACAGCATACCGTGTTAATCAAATTCAATTCAAAGTTTTGTAGCATCCTAGCCCTCTTGTCAATGCCAATCCCTCATTGGCTTTGTTTATACATGTGACAGGTGTCAATCACCATACAGGATGAGAATGACAACAGTCCAGAGTTTGATATCACATCTGATTCATTGGTGGAGATTCCAGAGAACACACCCATCGGGAAGAGAGTGGCTGTGGTGCTGGGGCGCGACAAAGATGCCGGGAATAATGGACTGGTGAGGAGAGAGAGAGGAGAGAGAGAGAGAGAGAGAGAGAGAGAGAGAGCTCTTCACCTGCTCTCCCTGCTCTCTTTTTCAACTCACTCCATCCCCTCTTTGTCTCGCTCTTTAAGGTGAAGTTCAGTCTGGTGGCAGGGAACATGCAGGATGTGTTTGAGATCCGGACAGTGAACCACACCTATGGAGAGATCTACGTCAACTTCCCTTTGGACCGAGAGTCTGTTGACCGCTACCTGCTCAAGGTTAGACACCTGGGTCATGTTCTATAATCACGTTTCCAAAGTCATACCATATTTAAAAAATCATGACAGCTGTGATGGAAACAGGAGGTTTTGGTACAATTTTATAAATGCCGACAGATCATTTGTTAGTTCGACATGTGATCTTTTTGTGTTGGTAAAATTAATTATGTGAGAAATGGTGGTGGAAACGCCTTTATGCGCAAATATTGATATAATAACCATCATATCAAAAGAAACTTGGAGTCACGCGATGATATGGTGTGTGGTCCTCCCACTACGACTCGGGAAACCGTGCAGTTTATTAGGCTACAGATAAAATATGTTATGATGAACTTCACAGGGTGGTGAAATTGCACGGTGATCTTGAGGCTCCTTTCCGATATATATCGAGGGTCTTATTCTGGTGACATGATGATCGATGCTTCATTGCCATTTGACAAATACAAATATTCTTGCTCTTATCCATAATAATCTCATCATGTAGATAGCCTACCGGCACAGCCTACTCGCACTGTATCTGCGAGCTTTTGACTAGAGCACATGTGCCAAGACCAGAGTAGGCACATTTGCTATTTAACGCAACAGTTGTGACAAAACTATCGGGAGAGTTGAAAATGCGATGGAAACACATGTATTCAGTACATGAAAACTTAAGTGGAAAAAGTCAATTTTGTGGAAACACACCACTGGTGGATAAATGTGCATATTTTCTTTATGCAGATTCTAGAATATTTGCATTAAAATCTGTTGCCAATTAGATGGAAACCTAGCCATTAAGGCACACCGTAGCAAAACATTTTGCAGTGGAAAATGAAATGATAGCTTCTTATTAGACAACTTCAGATAGTCCCTTCTGTTTGAGTCTATTTTCTTCCATTTCGTGCCTAATGAACGCTACCGCTTACTGTTACACTGCCACATTCAGGCTTCTCAGTCAGGAATCATATGAAAATTATATGTACTCAAGCTACATAGGATGGATATTAAATATTATTATACAGCATGTCAGCACATGAGCACGTTCTCATTTTAAAATGAATGTTTTGCCGGTGGGTGTGCGTCCATACGTGTGTACACATAATCCCATCGCAGTGTACTGTATATCCATATGTTTATTAATACAAAAAACTATGTTTTAATTGAAATATTAGCTTTTGTCTGAAGTCGAAAAATACAGGAAATTCAAAGATAATTTGACCTATGCATTAACAATGTTTTTCAGCATACGCAGCTTAGATATCCTCTAGAGTACTGTAGCTTTATTGATCTACTGTACTTCAACAACAGATGTACTCACATTGGATGTGTTGATTAGGATTCAAACCTTCTCTTAAACAGCCTAATACATTCTCTTAGAGTAGGTTTACCCCATTAATGTACTTGGTAATGTAAACTTATTTTTTCATGTAAGACACACATGCAATCTGCAATCTGGGAATCTTGATGTAAACCCATTGGTTCTTAAAGGGGCAATCTGCAGTTCAAACAACAACAAACCCAACCAACCTGCCACTGTTTTGGTAAAAAGCTAAGGAACTAGGGGTAGAGAAATGTAACCACCTCAAATTCATCGAATTCATCAATTTTAACCATATTCAGAGGCTAAACAGTGTTTGTTTAAAATATACTGTATATCTTTTTTACAAACAATTGAGTAGAACAAGCATACATGCCTTCGGTATGTATTCAGACCCCTTGACTTTTTCCACATTTTGTTAGGTTACAGCCTTATTCTAAAATTGATAAAATTGTTCCCCCCCCCCATCAATCTACACACAATACCCCATAATGACGAAGCAAAAACAAGTTGTTAGACATTTTTGCTAATTTATCAAAACAAAAATCTGAAATATCACATTTACATAAGTATTCAGACCATTTACTCAGTACTTTGTTGAATCACCTTTGGCAGCAATTATAGCCTTGAGTCTTCTTGGGTATGACACTACAAGCTTGGCACACCTGTATTTGGGGAGTTTCTCCCGTTCTTCTCTGCAGATCCTCTCAAGCTCTATCAGGTTGGATGGGGAGCGTTGCTGCACAGCAATTTTCAGGTCTCTCCAGAGATGTTCGATCGGGTTCAAGTCCAAGCTCTGGCTGGGCCACTCAAGGACATTCAAAGACTTGTCCTGAAGCCACTCCTGTGTTGTCTTGGCTGTGTGCTTAGGGCTATTGTTATTTTACTGCTGCTCTTTAATTATTTGTTATTTTTCTATTTTTCTTATTTTTTTATTTTTACTTCTCTATTTTTTACTTAACACTTATTTTTCTTAAAACTGCATTGTTGGTTAAGGGCTTGTAAGTAATTATTTCACTGTAAGGTCTACACCTGTTGTATTCGGCGCATGTGACAAATAAAACTTATTTGATTGTCCTGTTGGAAGGTGAACCTTCGCCCCAGTCTGAGTCAAGGATCTCTCTGTATTTTGCTCCGTTCATCTTTGCCTCAATCCTGACTAGTTTCCCAGTCTCTGCCGCTGAAAAACACCCCCACAGCATGATGCTGCCACCACCATGCTTCACCGTAAGGATGGTTCCAGGTTTCCTCCAGACGTGACGCTTGGCATTCAGGCCAAAGAGTTCAATCTTGGTTTCATCAGACCAGAGAATCTTGTTTCTAATGGTCTGAGAGTCTTTAGGTATCGTTTGGCAGCGGGCTGTCATGTGCCTTTTACTGAGGAGTGGCTTCCGTCTGGTGTTCTTGTGGACCTTCAATGCTACAGAAATGTTTTTGGTACCCTTCCCCAGATCTGTGCCTCGACACAGTCCTGTCTCCGTGCTCTACGGACAATTCCTTCGACCTCATGGCTTGGTTTTTGCTCTGACATGCACTGTCAACTGTGGGACCTTATAGGACAGGTGTGTGCCTTTCCAAAACAAGTCCAATCAATTTAATTTACCATAGGTGGACCCAAATCAAGTTGTAGAAACATCTCATGGATGATCAATTTCGAGTCTCATAGCAAAGGGTCTGAGTACTTATGTAAATAAGGTATTTTTGTTGTAGGTTTCTGTCCGCTTTGTCATTATGGGGTATTGTGTGTAGATTTCTGAGGATTTTTATTCATTTAATTCATTTTTGAATAAGGCTATAACATAACAAAATGTTGAAAAAGTTAATGGGTCTGAATACTTTCCGAAGTCACTATATATTTTGGATTCTGATGGGGTACGACAATTGGACTAAGCTCATGAGGCATTTATTATATACGTTATATTCTTCAAAGAACAATGGGTATGTGTAAATAATGTAAAAGTAAATCATTTATGTAGCAATTGCAGATTGCAGTAACCTCATAAACATTGTCAGGATGTAGCAGTGTTCATTTTCCCTTCAACTGAAATCATTACAGTTCAGTATTTCTAACCACCCCCTTTAAATGCACACACTACCCAAACTAATGGACATGTGACAGCAAGGCAGAATGGCACATTCCAAACGAGCACTGGGTACATGATACTGTACATATTGACCAACATGGTATGTTCATTTGATGAATGTAGATTGGCGGAGAAAATAAGGGATCATAGCATTTGCCCCGAGGCAGATGAACACTTTGCCCAGGTCCTAAACACTGTCCACTAACCTTTTGGTGATACGGGGGGACAAACTTCCCCGCATGGGCCTTTGTTGAAGCAGGTAAGGGAGCATTCTCTCCCGAACTATGCACAGTGGACACTTGGGTTGTCTCCAGACCTCCAAGCAGTGACACAACTTCCGTGACACAACTAGGAACATTTTGCAGGTGAGTCATTTTCTCTCCAAGCCCAGGGAAAGGTCAAAGCACACCCTCTCCTCTCCAGGCTCTGGAGAGACCTAGGTCATAATCAATTCAGTGTCAGTCAATGTCGGGATGAAAACCTCACACACCCCATCATAGGGCAAACACTCCTGCAGAGCACCCCCCATAGGAACACCAGAGGAGCAAGAAGGAGACAGTTCGGCCTCTAACATGGCATCCTAACCAGGGCCCGACTGGTAAACTATTACAGGCGAAGGCATATCACATTATTCACTTACCTACCACAGAGATGAGAATAGATTTTTCCTGCTTTTTATGGAAACTGAAAGGTGTCATACCTAACCGCCCCAGTGGCTTTCCGTAGCCCCCCTACACACACCGCGGTAGATTTTTTTTGGCACCAACCTGTCACTCAATAATGTATTTTTATATAGGGACACTAAACTAAAACTTAGGGGGCACAAGTTTGAACTGAGGGGGCTAAGCCTGGTACGCATCCAGATTGTTACTACCAATATTACAATCAATTTTTCGTGTAGGCTGCTGTTATTCTCCAAATAAAATAGAGATGGGTGAAAACAATTGGCCACGTTAGATACTGCCGGCGGCATTTGATAGGATACAGCTGCGGGACGCAACTGACTTTGGGTCTGTGTTGTTGTTTATATAGAAACTGTCTCTGAGCCTGTTGGTATCAGACCTCATGATCCGATGACAAGTCCTCTGTGATGTGGATGCTGAGGTACTTAAAACTTGTGACTCCCTCTACTACAGTCCCATTGATGTGGATCGGGCATGTTCCCTCCTCTGCTTCCTGAAGTCAACAATCAACTCCATTGTTTTGCTGACGTTGAGTGAATGGTTGTTGCCACAATGCCAGTTCACTTACCTCCTCCCTATAGGCTGACTCATCGTTGTTGGTTATCAGGCCTACAACCATGGTGTCATCAGCAAACTTGGAGTTGGTGTCGTGCAAAGCCACACAGTCGTGGGTGAACAGGGAGTACAGCAGAGGACAGAGGACACCCCTGTGGGGCCCCTGTGTTAAGGGTCAGTGTGGAGGAGGTGTTGTTGCCAATACTCACAGCCTGTGGTCTGCCCGTTAGGAAGTCAAGGATCCAGTTGTAGAGGGTGGTGTCCAGACCCAGGGCTCTGAGCTTGGTGTCGAGCTTGGAGGGAACAATAGTGTTGAATGTAGAGAATGGTGCCGGAGGAGATGGCTGCCGTTTTAAGGGCTCCTAACCAATTGTGCTATTTTTGTGTGTTTTTCCGCGTTGTTTGTAACTTATTTTGTACATAATGTTTCTGCCACCATCTCTTATGACCGAAAGGAGCTTCTGGATATCAGAACAGCGATTTCTCACCTCGAACTGGACGAAGATATTTTCTTTAACGAGTCGGACGCAAAGAATTTACTCCAGATACCCAGTCATTCGCATGAAGAGAAGACGCCGATACAGGGGACGCAGGTTGGGGTGCCTCGTGAGAATTTGTTGGCGAGTGGGTAACCCGCCTCTACCATCCATCCTATTGGCCAACGTGCAATCATTGGAGAATAAACTGGATGAGCTCCGTTCAAGACTATCCTACCAACAAACTGTAATATCTTATGTTTCACCGAGTCGAGGCTGAACGACGACATGGATAATATACAGTTGGCTGGTTTTTCTGTGCATCGGCAAGACAGAATAGCTGCCTCCGGTAAGACAACAAGGGGTGGTCTGTGTCTATTTTGTCAATAACAGCTGGTGCGCAAAATCAAATATTAAGGAAGTCTCAAGGTTTTGCTCGCCTGAGGTAGAGTATATCATTATAACTGTAGACTACACTATTTACCAAGAGAGTTTTCATCTATATTTTTCGTAGCTGTATATTTACCACCACAACCCGATGCTGGCACTAAGACCGCACTCAACGAGCTGTATAAAGCCATAAGCAAACAAGAAAATGCTCATCCAGAGGCGGCGCTCCTAGTGGCCGGGTACTTTAATGCAGGTTATCTTAAATCTGTTTTACCTAATTTCTACCAGTATGTTACATGTGCAACAATAGTAAAAAAATAAAATCTAGACCGCCTTTACACCACACACTGAGACGCATACAAAGCTCTCCCTCAACCTCCATTTGGCAAATCTGACCATAATTCTATCCTCCTGATTCCTGCTTACAAGTGATAAGTTGTGTCAATTCAAATCTGGTATTGGAACAAAAAGAGGTCAATACACGTCTTCTAAAATAGACTAGTATTTTAATTAATGCAAAACACTTCAATGGTAAATATGATATTCGTATATACGGGTCCACTGAAATACCACGCAGGGCAGACAAGAACTGGTCCATTGTTATAAGTTCTTCTTTAAATACTCTGACAGAGATAGTTCCCGCTCCTGCTGGCTATCAGAGTAGAGACTGAGCGTGGTTTAGACTACTCAGCCTATCGTTGGCGCACAGGTGGTCCCAGTCCCTTGGCGCTTCACTGTTGCCAGGCATAGTGTTATCTGCAGCTTGTCCAGAGAGTCAGCACTTTTGCAGTACACATGTCCTTGAGTGGTCTAACAAAGAGGCAGTGTGTGTGTCTGTGAGAATCACAAGTCTGTCTCGGGCTACCCCCTAATAGTTCCTCACATTAATCACAGCTTGTTATGTTGACCAATCTATATCAGTACAGCACAAACATATTATGGTTAATCATTAATGTATTCTTTCTAAGCTAGGCATCACATCTAGTTATAAGAAAATAGAACCCCACACAAGCAAAAACTAAAGCAGGAAGTACCAGTGACTCACTTAATACGGATGTGGTCAGATGACACAGATGCTAAGCTACAGGACTCTTTTGCTAGCACAGACTGGAATATGTTCCAGGACTCATCCGATGGAATTGAGGAGCATACCACATCAGTCACCGGCTTCATCAATAAGTGCATCGTTGACGTTGTCCCCACAGTGACGTACGTACATACCCCAACCAGAAGCCATGGATTACAGGCAACATCAGCACTGAGCTAAAGGATAGAGCTGCCACTTTCAAGGAGCGGGACTCTAACCCGGACGCTTATAAGAAATCCCGCTATGCCCTCAGACGAAGATCAAACAGGCAAAGTGTAAATACAGGACTAAGATTGAATCGTACTACACCAGCTCCGACGCTCGTCGGATGTGGCAGGGCTTGCAAACTATTACAGACTACAAAGGGAAGCCCAGCCGCGAGCTGCCCAGTGACACAAGCCTACCAGACGAGCTAAATGCACGCTTCGAGGCAAGCAACACTGAAGCATACATGAAAGCACCAGCTGTTCCGGACGACTGTGTGATCACGCTCGCCATAGCCGATGTGAGTAAGACCTTTAAACAGGTCAACATTCACAAGGCCGCAGGGCCAGACTGATCACCAGGACGTGTACTCCGAGCATGCGCTGACCAGTGTCTTCACTGACATTTTCAACCTGACCCTGGCCGAGTCAAGCAGACCACCATAGTCCCTTTGCCCAAGAACACCAAGGTAACCTGCCTAAATAACTACCAACCCATAGCACTCATGTCTGTAGCCATGAAGTGCTTTGAAAGGCTGGTCATGGCTTACATCAACACCATCATCCCAGAAACCTTAGACCCACTCCAATATGCATACCGCCCCAACAAATCCACAGATGCCGCAATCTCTATTGCACTCAACACTGCCCTTTCCCACCTGGACAAAAGGAACACCTACGTGAGAATGCTGTTCATTGACTACAGCTCAGCATTCAACACCATAGTGCCCTCAAAGCTCATCACTAAGCTAAGGACCCTGGGACTAAACATCTCCCTCTGCAACTTGATCCTGGACTTCCTGACGGGCCGCCCCCAGGTGGTAAGGGTAGGCAACAACACATCTGCCACGCTGATTCTCAACACGGGGCCCATCAGGGGTGCATGCTTAGTTCCCTCCTGTCCTCCCTGTTCACCCATGACTGCGTGGCCAAGCACGACTCCAACACCATCATTAAGTTTGCCAACGACACAACGGTGGTAGGCCTGATCACCAACAACGATGAGACAACATATAGGGAGGAGGTCAGAGTCTAGTCATAGACTGTTTTCTCTGATACCACACGGCAAGCGGTACCAGAGCGCCAAGTCTAGGTCCAAAAGGCTTCTTAACAGCTTCTATGCCCAAGCCATCAAATGGCTACCCGGACTATTTGCATTGACCCCCCCCCCCCCTACCTACATGTACATATTACCTCAATTACCTCGACTAACCTGTACCCCCACACATTGTCTCGGTACCAGTACCCCCTGTGTATAGCCTCGTTATTGTTATTTTATTGTTGCTCTTTTATTTTTTACTTTAATTTATTTATTAAATATTTTTCTTAACTGCATTGTTGGTTAAGAGCTTGTAAGCATTTAACGGTAAGGTCTACTACACCTGTTGTATTTGGCGCATGTGACAAATACAATTTGATTTGATTTGAATGCTCAACCATAGCCAATGAACAGCGTTCTTACATAGGTGTTCCTCTTGTCCAGATGTGTTATGGCTGTGTGAATAGCAATTGAAATGGCATCTTCCATGGATCTGTTGGAGTGGTAGGGAAATTGGATTGGGTCCAGTGTGAGCGCGACTGGGCAATAGTCATTTGGGCATGTCACCTTGTTTTTCTTGGACACTGGGACGATGGTGGTGTCCTTAAAGCAGGTGGGGACTACAGCCTGGGACAGGGACAGGTTGTCAGCACACACTGGTCAGCACACACTCTGAGGATGCGGCCAGCGATGCCATCTGGGCCGGCGGCTTTGTGAGTATTCACTCTTTTGAGAGTTTTCCTCACATCAGCCTCGGAGAGCGAAAGCACCTGGTCATCCGGAGCAGAGAGAGTCAATCTGTCTGGCTCGAAGCAAGCATTGAATGTGTTAAGCTCATCTGAGAGGGAGGCTTCGGTGGGCACCGCATATCTGGATTTTCCTTTGTAGTTATGATAGTCTGTAGTCCTTGCCACATTTGACGCGAGTCTGAATTGTCGAACATCAATTCAAGTTTGAGTATGTATTGTCTTTTTGCATCCCTAATAGATTTGCGGAGCTCGTACCTGCTTGCCTTGTACGCGTCGCACGCCACCGAGTCATCGGGGTTCCAGGGTTTTTGGTTGGGGTATGTCCAGATTGTTATTGAGGGTACAATGTCACCAACACATTTCCTAATGAAGCATGTGACTGACAATGTATATTCCTCAATGTTGCTGGATGAGTCCTGGGTGGATACATTTTTAACATATTCCAATCAATATTCCTAAACAATCATACAGCATTGAGTCTGCCTCCTCTGTCCAGCGCCTCACTATTCTCTGTGTTGGTGAGTTGCTGCTTGTAGGCAGGGAGTAGGAACAAAGAGCTGTGATCTGATTGGCTGAAGTGGGGGCGGGGAATGGCTTTGTGTATACATGGTCAAGCATGGTTGATCATCTCGTGGGGAAGGATACATGTTGGTGATTATTTGGGAAAATGTGTTTTAGACAGGCTTGGTTAAAGTCAACCGCTACAATAAAGATTGCTTCCGGGTGAGAGGATTCTTGCTGGCTAATGATCTTGTACAGTTTCTTGAGTGCCGCCTTGGTGTTTGCTTGTGGCGGTATGTACACAGCTGTGATAATAACACACGTGAATTCCATCGGCATATAGTGGGGTTGGCATTTTAGCATCAGAAACTCCAGGTCGGGTGAACAGGAGCTGCCAATGTTTTCATCTTCGGTACACCAGGAATTGTTTATGAGGAAACCTACACCTCCCCCTGACTCTTACCAGAAGCCACCGTTCGATCTATTCGGAATATGGGGAAGCCGTCTGGTTGAATAGCAGAGTCAAATGTATTGTCAATAAGCCACGGTCATGACTGGCCCTCATGGGTTGAGGATCAAACATGCCGGCTCGGTAAAGGTTTGAACACCCCATTTCCTGGGGGCCAGTTTTATGACAGGTCGTAAATACAGTGCAGACTTTCTCTTCCTTGCCATGAAGTATTGGGAGAAAAGACCCCTTTGTTAACAAAGGAAGTCTTCCTGCCAAGACTCCAACATCCAAAAGTAGATAATTAAACAATATTCCTACTTAAAAGAATGTGGGAAATGGTTGGTGGGGACTTAAAGAACAATCATGTCAAATTCGTTACAATGTTGTGATGTCATTAAAGACTGCGGAACAACATAACTGTATCTTTGGGGGGGTACACTTCCCAGTTATGAGGTTAGAATCTAATTGTTGTTTAAAACGAATTATTAAGTATAATAATACTTTTGTGAAGATAACAATGTGATTTTAGCATTCTAGATGAGATTATTGTTTTCCATATTGATTTGTTCTCAGTCAGTGGCCATGCCCAGATGAGCACAAACATGAATGAATGCTCCTTTTACCCTGAGTGCATAAAAAGCCTTGTGATGAAATTCACCTCAGACCAGCAGACGTGAAGCGTGAGCTAAACGTTGCAAATGGTTGAATTTCTACCAGACCAGAAAGCCCACAGCTTAAAATGGTTGACACTCTACAAGACCAGTAGACGTGAAGCGTGAGCTGAACATTACAAAATGGTTTAAAACTACAACTCCATACCAAAGGAAGACCAGCAGACGTGAGACGTTAGTCCACACATTTGAAATGGAGAAACTCTGAAACTCTCAACCTCTACACGAGGTGAAGAAGAAACAATGCACTAGACCTTATCATTTCAGTCTGCAGCTGGCATGTATAGTCATCTAGAGAACTTTCACTAAAGACACGAGAGGAGAGGACAACCGCTGGTACATCTGAAGTTTCCATTCTAACCACAACTATGACCAGAAACTCTACCAAGGACATAGTGATCTCTGGTGGACAAACCAGAGTCCTACATCATCAACTCAACTATCGAGGACAGCTACACGTAAATACATGTTCCATTTCTAATCCAAATTAGTGTTATTAGGGTGCATAAGTATTATGATTACTGTGAGCGTAGTCTCCAAAGTAACCACGATAGTTTGAATCTCTCTCTCCCTTCCACTCTGACCCTCCTTCTACCCATGCATTCATGCTATTGTTAGTCCAGTCCACTAGGGACCTGTTTTCATTGTATTACGTTAGTAACCTGTGTGTGTTTGTATTGTGTTATTATTTAGTTAGTTAGTAAATAAATAATTAAGCCAATTTGATTAATCAATAAGGTTAGGGTTCTTGCAGGTTCAAGGATTATGCGATGTTCAGAATGAGACTGATAAGAGGTAAGTATTTAATAAGTGACTGGTATACATGATCGGTATATATAACATATATATCTTCTAAGAGTTTAATTCGGGAGATGGTAACTCGTTAAACAACTTATTCTGTGGGGTCCCAAATTCCTAATGAGTTAATTGTTACATTATTAATTTAATTGAGTGACAATTAAACATAGTTAGGTGATTCAATAAATAACAGTCATACATTAAAGTAAGTCACGTCACGACACCACGTCTCAGTAAAAACAAAGACACAGCATTCCCTGATGTCCCTGCCTTGCTCTGAGTTCAAAATTTATTTTCCAGCGATTGGACATTAGCCATTAGAACAAATCCGTTGGACGGGCATTTCATTTCCATAAGGGAGGCTGTTTTTTTCACGCGCCTGCGCATTGTTGTGGAACAGTTTCATTTCAATAATAATGTTTTAGTTTCTTTATGACGTTTTCATTGGATATATGGGATCATCAGATCATGATATTTTGCTATTTTACACAGAGGCTTGGTGATTTTCGAAGTCCAGCAGAGTGTTGGAAAGATTTTTCAAATACTGCGAGGAGCTATTATCATTCACAATGGATATTAAAAATAAAAACTTCATTGACTTACAGCGTGAGGTGAAGAAAAAAATACTGAGAAGCTCAGTTTATTTAGTAAGAGGACGTGGTGCGTTAAGACAGTCAGAACACAACTGTGAAGTGTTTTCACAAATATTAGCATCTTTGCTCATATTAAGGAACTTTAACTGGGAAATCACCTCACTATACAGCCTATTGTGCATATTGACAATTATATTGCCATGCTGCTCATTTCACAGTGGTTTCAGAGTCCCGCAATAAGAACTATGAAGAGCTATGACTGTTTAATGCACACAATAGGCTGAAAAGTGAGGTGATATCCCACAGTCAAAGTCCCTCAATAAGACCTACGACGCTAATATTTGTGTAAACTATTCAGAATTGTAATCTGTTGGTGTTACTGAGTAAGCTGATATCCCATTTCATGGACCCAAGATCCATAGGTAAGGCTGTATATTGCAATATGAATGTCAATACACACAATAGGCTGTATAGTGAAGCGTTTTGCCACAGTTAAAGTTTCCTAATATGAGCTAGGACACTCATATTTGTTTAAACTCTTAATTATTGTAATCTGTGGATGTCACTGAGTAGGCTGATACTCCATTTCATGGACCCAAGATCCCATATGTAAGGCTGTACATTGCAATATGAATATTCAATACATAGTAGGTTGACTGGAGAGCTTAATGTGGCTCATTTCACAGTGGTTTCAGAGTCCCGCAATAAGAGCTATGACGCTAATATTTGTTTAAACTCTTCAGAATTGTAAATCGGTTGGTGTCACTGAGTAGGTTGATACCGCATTTCATGGACACAAGATTCATGGACACCTTTCACAGCATCACAAGGCTGCATTGAGACAATGACTTATCAATGACCCAAGTCCAGCTCTTTTAATCCCTACCATTGTGTCACTGAGTTGTCATAATGATTCAGCAAATTATCCTAGGGGCGTTGGAAGACACAATATAAATAACCTAATTTATGTCCCTCTTACTGCCCGGAATGCCTCTGCTGATCCTACAGCTATTGTGTGCAGTAATCATATGCCTATGAACCAGAGTAATACTGTTAGCACTGAGGTGGTGTGCCCTAGTAGGAAGTCCACTGAATCAGATGTCTCATTCATCACAAAACCCACTGATATTGCCAACTACTTTAATGATTTATTCATTGGCAAGATTAGCAAACTTGCCAGCAACAAAAGCTGACACTACACATCCAAGTATATCTGACCAAATTATGAAAGACAAGCATTGTAATTTTGAATTCCTTAAAGTAAGTGTGGAAGAGGTGAAAAAAGTATTATTGTCGATCAACAATGACAAGCCACCGGGGTCTGACAACTTGGATGGAAAATTATTGAGGATAATAGTGGATGATATTGCAACTCCTATTTGCCATATCTTCAATTTAAGCCTACAAGAAAGTGTGTGCCCTCAGGCCTGGAGGGAAGCAACAGTTATTCCCCTACCAAAAAGTAGTAAAGCCCCCTTAACTGGCTCAAATAGCCGACCAATCAGCCTGTTACCAACCCTTAGTAAACTTTTGGGGAAAAATGGTGTTTGACCAGGTAAAATACTATTTTACAGTGAACAAATTGACAACAGACTTTCAGCACGCTTATAGGGAAGGACATTCAACAAGCACAGCACTTACACAAATGACTGATGATTGGCTGAGAGAAGTTGTATTTGGGACAAATAATTTACTAAACCCTAAACCTCAACTAAATCTTGTAATGAATAATATGGAAATTGAGCAAGTTGATGAGACTAAATTGCTTGGAGTAACCCTGGATTGTAAACTGTCATGGTCAAAACATATTGATACAACAGTAGCTAGGATGGGGAGAAGTATGTCTGCAATAAAGCGCTGCTCTGCATTCTTAACAGCACTTTCAACAAGGCAGGTCCTACAGGCTCTAGTTTTGTCGCACCATGACTACTGTTCAGTCGTGTGGTCAGGTGCCACAAAATTGCAATTGGCTCAGAACAGGGCAGCACAGCTGGCCCTTGGATGTACACAGAGAGCTAACATGAATAATATGCATGTCAATCTCTCCTGGCTCAAAGTGGAGGAGAGATTGACTTCATCACTACTTGTATTTGTGAGAGGTATTGACATGTTGAATGCACCGGACAGCCATGCATACCCCACAAGACATGCCACCAGAGGTCTCTTCACAGTCCCAAAGTAAAGAACAGACTATGGGAGTACTACATAGAGCCATGACTACATGGAACTCTATTCCACATCAAGTAACTCATTGTGTACAGATCCTTGCGACATGGGGCCATGCATTATCATGCTGAACAGTGGCGATGTTTAGTCCCAGGGTCCTTAGCTTAGTGATGAGCTTTGAGGGCACTGTGGTGTTGAACGCTGAGCTGTAGTCAATGAATAGCATTCTCACGTAGGTGTTCCTTTTGTCCAGGTGGGAAAGGGCAGTGTGGAGTGCAATAAAGCTTGCATCATCTGTGGATCTGTTGGGGCGGTATGCAAATTGGAGTGGGTCTAGGATTTCTGGGATGATGGTGTTGATGTGAGCCATGACCAGCCTTTCAAAGCACTTTATGGCTACAGACGTGAGTGCTACGGGTCGGTAGTCATTTAGGCAGGTTACCTTAGTGTTCTTGGGCACAGGGACTATGGTGGTCTGCTTGAAACATGTTGGTATTACAGTCTCAGTCAGGGACATGTTAAAAATATCAGTGAAGACACTTGCCAGTTGGTCAGTGCATCCTCGGAGTACACGTCCTGGAGATTCGTCTGGCTCTGCGGCTTTTTGAATGTTGACCTGTTTAATGGTCTTACTCTCATCGGGTATGGAGAGCTTGATCACACAGTCGTCCGGAACAGCTGATGCTCTCATGCATGCTTCAGTGTTGCTTGCCTCGAAGCGAGCATAGAAGTAATTTAGCTCGTCTGGTAGGCTCGTGTCCCTGGGCAGCTTGCGACTGTGCTTCCCATTGTAGTCTGTAATAGTTTGCAAGGCCGAGCATAGGAGCTGGTGTAGTACGATTCAATCTTAGTCCTGTATTGACGCTTTGCCTGTTTGATCGTTCGTCGGAGGGCTTAGCGGGATTTCTTATAAGCGTCCGGGTTAGAGTCCCGCTCCTTGAAAGTGGAAGCTCTACCCTTTAGCTCCGTGGGGATGTTGCCTGTATTCCATGGCTTCTTGTTGGGGTATGAGTCCTGAGTGGCGCAGTGGTCTAAGGCACTGCATCGCAGTGCTAACTGTGCCACTAGAGATCCTGGTTCGAATCCAGGCTCTGTCGCAGCCGGCCGCGACCGGGAGACTCATGGGCGGCGCACAATTGGCCCAGCGTCGTCCAGGGTAGGGGAGGGAATGGCCGGCAGGGATGTAGCTCAGTTGATAGAGCATGGCGTTTGCAACGCCAGGGTTGTGGGTTCGATGCCCACGGGGGGCCAGTATAAAAAAATATGTATTCACTAACTGTACGTATGGTTAGTGTGGGGACGACGTCATCAATGCACTTATTGATGAAGCCAGTGACTGATGTGGTGTACTCTTCAATGCCATCGGAAGACATTTTCCAGTCTATGCTACCTAAACAGTGCTGTAGCTTAGCATCTGCGTCATCTGACCACTTTTTTATTGACCGAGTCACTGGTGCTTCCTGCTTTAGTTTTTGCTTGTAAGCAGGAATCAGGAGGATAGAGTTATGGTCAGATTTGCCAAATGGAGGGCGAGGGAGAGCTTTGTATGTGTCTCTGTGTGTGGAGTAAAGGTGGTGTAGAGTTTTTTTTCTCCCTCTGGTTGCACAGTTATCATGTTGGTAGAAATTAGGTCAAACTGATTTAAGTTTCCCTGCATTAAAGTCCCCGGCCACTAGGAGCGCCGCCTCTGGATGAGCGTTTTCCTGTTTGCTTATGGCCTTATACAGCTCATTGAGTGCGGTCTTAGTGCCAGCATCGGTTTGTGGTGGTATATAGACAGCTACGAAAACATTTGATAACATTTGGTAAATAGTGTGGTCTATAGCTTATCATGAGATACTCTACCTCAGGCGAGCAAAACCTTGAGACTTCTTTAATATTAGATTTTGTGCTCCAGCGGTTGTTTACAAATATACACAGACTGCCACCCCTTGTCTTACCGGAGGCATCTGTTCTATCTTGCCGATGCAGCGTATATCCCGCCAGCTGTATGTTATCCATGTCGTCATTCAGCCACGACTCGGTGAAACATAAGATATTACAGTTGTTAGGATATCCTTGATCGTAGTTAGTCTATTTTGTAATCCAATGATAACAAAATAGATCAATGTTACATTGATTTGGGCCTTGTCGGGTGTCTGAAGAAAATCCTTCGCGTCAGACTCGTTAAAAAAAAATATTTGTCCAGTGCGAGGTGAGTAATCGCTGTCCTGATATCCAGAAGCTCTTTTCGGTCATAAGAGACGGTGGCAGAAACATTATGTACAAAATATGTTACAAATAACGCAAAAAAACACACACAATAGCACAACTGGTTAGGAGCCCGTAAAACGGCAGCCATCTCCTCCGGTGCCATTGTAAATCCGCCATTGTCATAATTACTGTGTGAGTCTATGGAAGGGGGTGAGAACCATCAGCCTCCTAAGTTTTGTATTGAAGTCAATGTACCCAGAGGAGGACGGAAGCTAACTGTCCTCCGGCTACACCATGGTGCTACCCTACAGAGTGCTGTTGAGGCTACTGTAGACTTTCTTTGCAAAATAGTATGTTTTAATCAATTATTTAGTGACGCGATTATATTTAGTATAGTTTTATCTAAACAGGATAACTTTTTTTAATGCTTTATCATTTTAATTTTCCTGAAATTCTCTGAGGAGGATGGTCCTCCCCTTTCTCCTCTGAGGAGCCTCCACTGATGCTGAAACATGAGGTGATGGCGGTGGATGAATGGCACGACAATGGGCCTCAGGATCTCGTCACAGTATATCTGTGCATTCAAATTACCATCGATAAAATGCAGTTGTGTTAGTTGTCCGTAGCTTATGCCTGCCCATACCATAACCCCACCACCACCATGGGGCACTCTATTCACAACGTTTGCATCAGCAAACAGCTCACCCACATGATGCCATACACGCTGTCTATCATCTGCCTGGTACAGTTGAAACCAGGATTCAGCCGTGAAGAGCTCACTTCTCCAGCGTGCCAGTGCCCATCTTAGGTGAGAATTAGCCCACTGAAGTAGGTTACGACGCCGAAATGCAGTCAGGCAAGACCCTGATGAGGTAGACGAGCACGCAGATGAGCTTTCCTGAGATGGTTTCTGACAGTTTGTGCCGAAATTCTTCGGTTGTGCAAACCCAGTTTCATCAGCTGTCCGGGTGGCTGGTCTCAGATGATCCCGCAGGTAAAGAAGCCGGATGAAGAAGCCGGATGTGGAGGTCCTGGGCTGGCGTGGTTACACACGGTCTGCAGTTGTGAGGGCGGCTGAACGTACTGCAAAATTTTCTAAAATGACGTTGGAGGTGGTTTATGGTAGAGAAATTAACATTAAATTATCTGGCAACAGCTCTGGTGGACATTCCTGCAGTCAGCATGCCAATTGCACGCTCCCTCAAAACTTGAGACATCTGTGGCATTGTGTTGTGTGACAAAATTGCACATTTTAGAGTGGCCTTTTATTGGCCCCAGCGCACGGTGCACCTGTGTAATGATCATGCTGTTTAATCAGCTTCTTGATATGTCACACCTGTCAAGTGGATGGATTATCTTGGTAAATGAGAAATGCTCACTAACAGGAATGTAAACAAACTTGTGCACACTATTTGAGAGAAATAAGCTTTTTGTGAGTATGGAACATTTCTGGGCTATTTTATTTCAGCTCCATAAACGTGGGACAAACACTTTATATGTTGCGTTTATTTTTTTGTTCAGTGTATCCACAGAGTGATTTCAACAGATTTCTTATTTTTTTGTGCCAAATTAACTATGAATTGTATTTTGTTTAATTTATATAACAACAGTCCGACCTTGTTTAGCATTATCTAGTCCAAATATGGCATGATTCCAATGTTTTTATCCGTTAGCATCACTTTCAATTGGGGACTTTTATTTTGAAGGTGAACTGCACATTCCACTATTGTGGCTAATCCTTATTGTGGCTCGCTTCACATAGGTGTGAATGCCGAAGTCAGTTGCTTCCCTGGTTTTAATGGGCGAATTCATTTTGCTAGGCCCGTCGCCCCGGTTAAGCGGAGTTTGTAAATTTTAGACCATTCCATTGGTCCTCAAATGACATTTCCATACAACCGGGGCACCGGGCCATGCAAAACAAACTCGCCCAATGTCTATAGTTGGTTCCCGCAGCTGTAGCCTATCACATGCCGCCAGCAGTATCTGACGTGGCCTATTGTTTCCACCCAACTCTATTTTAATTGGAAACGAAAAATAACTTGTAATATTGGTAGTAACAATCTGTATGTCACCGTGATAGTCTACTGCTCAATGGGGGGAGTAGGCTATGCGCTGCAAGCCGGTTCACAGTGTGTGTCCCGCAGTACTGCTAGCTAGTGTAGCTAATATCAGGGTGTCAGCTAATGAACAGTTATTGCAGTAATTTTTACCGACAATGTACAACTACTACGGCATTAATGTCTACATTATAAAAAAATATATATATTTTGAACAAGAAACTACGGTTTTGGACGCTCATTCTATAGTTTAATTTGGAATAAAAAATTCCATATAGTTGTGCCTGAAGAACCAAACGATCTGCACACTAATGTTACCACCTAAACTAGCTAGATGGGTCGTCCTGTGGCTCAAACTTAAACCCCCACGACAAGAAACCTACCTACAGAGGAGCACCTCAATCCCCAAAAATTCGCTTGGCTACAATGCCCCGAAGATAAGACAAACATTTGTCAGGACATAAAAAAAGGTAACTTTAATGTTGTTGTCTAACTTAACTAGCTACAGCTAATGTCCTAGCTAGCTACAAAGTTTTAGCTACCGAGTTAGCTAGTTGCCGAGTTAGCTAGCTAAATGGGAGAGATGTTTTGCGCAACAGTGGCAATGGATTTGAGTCAAGAGTAGCTAACGTTAGCTAGCTAGCTAGCCAGTCAGACCTTTTTGATTACATTGACTTGTATACATTACTGTATTATACATCAAAGGGCCAGAGAGGTCGTGCCCAAGCCAGACCTGGAATAAAATAGTAACTAGCTGTTCATTTTTGTAAGCAAAAATTGGCTCTTTTTTTCCATAGTGCACTACCTATATGATACAGGTGTAAACAACAAAAAATTGCAGCAGCAGTAAGTAATGTTAGGGCATTCTGACCTAATAATAGCAAGCTAGTTTGGTGAGATTAGGTTGGCTTTATATCCATGGCAATTTTCTGAAAATGTGCCTTGATTAGCCAGAATGCTGATAAATTGTCATTTGAATTTACGCAGTTGTCCACTTTGTCATTATGCTGTTGGAAATTTGAGACAAAATATCCAAAGGAAAGCATTGTAGCTATCCTCGCTATATGAGCCATATTACAATTCCCACCAAGTGGGTTAGCCCTATTGGCGCAATGCGTAGGATGTTTGCAATTCACGCCAGCGACCCCGGGTTTACTTCTCTACCCCGCCGTTTGCTACATTGGTGTCAGAAGTCTGAGGGGCTGAATAGTCGTTGCATGGGGACGCCTTCCCGTTCAGAGGGGGCAGTGTAGCGATCATTGCTGTATGAGCCATGTTACAATTCCCACCAAGTGGGTTAACCCTATTGGCGCGATGCATATGGTGTCACGCCAGCGACATGGGTTCGCTTCCCTGTCCTGCTGTTTACTACAGAGAGAAACATGTTTAAGTTGGTTTAATAATACTTTCCTATGGATATTTTGTATCAAATTTATAACGGCATAAGGATGTAGAGAATGTTCTCATGAATGTATTCAACATTCTGACTTGTAGCCTAAAGGGACTGTTTAGTCATCCGGGATATACAGTACATTCAGAAAGTATTCATACCCCTAGACTTATTCCACATTTTGTTGTGTTACAGCCTGAATTCAAAATGGATGACATAAAAATAAATCTCACCCATCTACACACAATACTCCATAATGACAAAGTGAAAACATGTTCTTAGAAATATCTCATTTACATAAGTATTCACACGCCTGAGTCATTACTTTGAGGAAGCACCTTTGGCGGCGATTATAGCTTTGAGTGGTCTTGGATATGTCTATATCAGCTTTGCACATCTGGATTCTCCCATTCTTCCTTGCAGATTTTCTCAAGCTCTGTTAAATTAGATGGGGAGCGGCGGTGAACAGCAATCTTCAAGTCTGGGCTTTGGCTGGGCCACCTAAGGACTTTCACATTCTTGTTCTGAAGCCATTTCAGCATTGCATTGGTATGCTTGGGGTCATTGTCCTGTTGGAACGTATATCTTGAATAAGTCAAGGGATATGAATACTTTCTGAAGGCACTGTATATGTTAGCGATGAGTGTGAACTCTGAGATGTCCACACTCGAAAGCGTAGCGGCTAGGTTTTAGGGAGCTTTGAATTAGAGGTCAATGCCATACTTAAGTTGGACATGCTCTTTCTGTTTGTGACTCGCAGGTGTTTGACGGTTTCTACAACAACACCCGGATGCTTCATTTCTTCCCAGCTGTAGTGGTGTGTTCATCTATGCCCTGGTCCACCATGGGCCCATACTTTGATGAAATACACGTACAATGCCCTATTTAGGTTGGCATCTGTTGTTGTTTATCAATGTAGCTATATCTTTATGAAATGACCAACGACATTATTATTATTATTATATCATTATCCTTCAAGTGCTCCACCTGTGACGTCAGTGAAGAGTGACAATGTGAACAAAGGCATCTTCAAGACAGTCAGCACAAGGGTAATTTGATAATACTTTGTGTCAGACCATACAGACATGTAATAGACCCCTCCTAGAAACACTGTTGCGGTCAGACGGTCACTTTGGTCTTGTTATTGCTCTTCGCAACCTGATCATGCAACCCTGCCTTCAACCTCTGTTGCCAATCTGTGGTCCTAATGTGTTTTATATCTCCAGTGGAGGCTGGAGGCTGAGCCACCAGAGGATGGTGAAGACACAGGTTTGTATTGTATTGTTAATGTTGAATGGAGATGGGTAAAAGTGGAATGTAAATGTTGGATGATGCCCAAATTCCCTTCGAAATTAGACCAAATATGCAAATAGAGGTGTTTTCCCAATCTCTGCACTTGCTGTCAACAGTCTGAGCACTTTTGTATTGAGACAGGACTGTAAATTACTCAGATAGTAGACCTCAATAATTTGGACAGGACCAGGCTCAGATTGTTGAATAGACTTTCTTTTGATGTATGAATATTCTAAGATAAAGAATAAAGGGGATTAGATGCAAGTAGATTCAATACTCCTCAAAATGGGGCTTGGAAAGAAAAAGTGTTTATGTGTAACCTAACATGTCTGATTCCCTGTCTTGTTTGGTACTTCAGGAGATGGTGGCAGTACTTTCAGAGAAGAGCCGGGGGCTGCAGGAGGCCATGGATTTGCGCTGGATGTGGCAGGCTAGGCATGGTAGGCCAGAATTACAATTATAACAATCAAAAGGTGTATATTTCAACTATGCCTGTCTATCGAGGTTTATTAAAAGCTCTGTCTTTCTGATGTCGTCTGTGTACCATTAACAACTACAGGCTTGCTAGTTAGCATTACAGTCCTCCTGCAACTGATGTTACCAATAGTTTTACCTGTCAGCGTGGGTCCCTAGGTCCTGAAAGTTATAACATTAGCTACCTAGCCAATTATTTAGCTAGCTAGCTATTTATGACAATGCCAGAAATACTAATGTTTGGCTATACAGTGGGGGGAAAAAGTATTTAGTCAGCCACCAATTGTGCAAGTTCTCCCACTTAAAAAGATGAGCGAGGCCTGTAATTTTCATCATATGTACACGTCAACTATGACAGACAAATTGAGAAAAAAATATCCAGAAAATCACATTGTAGGATTTTTTATGAATTTATTTGCAAATTATGGTGGAAAATAAGTATTTGGTCACCTACAAACAAGCAAGATTTCTGGCTCTCACAGACCTGTAACTTCTTCTTTAAGAGGCTCCTCTGTCCTCCACTCGTTACCTGTATTAATGGCACCTGTTTGAACTTGTTATCAGTATAAAAGACACCTGTCCACAACCTCAAACAGTCACACTCCAAACCAGTGGCGGCTCCTGAAAAAATTCTCAGGGGGGGCAATTTTTCTGATGATTTAGGTGACCTACACACATTTAAAAAAAGATATGTCCAGCAACAACATGAAGACAGGGGCAGCATATAAGTCAATGCCAGAAGCATTTATTGACTGATCTCAAAAGTGTTGGCTTACAAAAGCAAAATAAGTTATCACAGTAAAAATAATCAAGGGTGTTCTTTCACATTCCTCAACACTGCATAAACAATATGCATTTCCATAAACAAATGAAATATCAGCTGAAAATACAGCATCTTGGTATTTGTTCAGATTGCAGGATCAACAAGAGCTTTTACCACATTTTTTGCCTCATGGTTGAATTGGAAATATGTGCACCTGAGCATAATTCACAACAAGCAAGCAGGAGCTTTTGATAGAGGCTACTGAAAACATTGATGCAAGTTATTGGTAATAAGAAATTTTTATAGACTTCCATATTCTGCCCTCTTGTATAGATTTGTGAAAATGAACAGTGATAGACATTTTGCCTGAAAACAGAATTTGAAAATAATTTATAGAAAAGGTAAACACAGCTATCTGTATGGCTTTGTAAAAATGAACAACCATATTCTGGCCAATTGTATAGATTTGTAAATATGAACAACCATATTCTGGCCAATTGTATAGATTTGTAAAAATGAACATGAACAGATTATTATTTTTTTTTAAATGAAAAATAACTATTTTAAACAACATCAACTGTGAACTGATTTGGGCGTGTGTGTGTTAAAGAGACAGACAGGGAGGGACAAAGAGAGAGAGAGGCTACATTACTTGTACTGAAACTGTTCTCTTCTCTCTTTCAATGCAGCAAAGCGGTCAATGACTTTCTCATTGAAATCAGGCATGCTGAGGACTAGTTCCCTCTCCATGGAAAGCATGGCCAGTGCATTCAGACGTTCCTGGCCCATTGAATTTCGCAGGAATGTCTTAACTCGTGTCAAAGTTGAGAAACATCTCTCAGCTTCAGCTGTTGTCATGGGAGTAGTTATGAGGATGTTCAACAGAGTCACAGTCTCAGAGAACGTCTCCTGGAGGTTGTAGCTCATGAGAACCTGGTACAGTGCCAGTGCACCACAGTTTGACTTTCTCGTCGTCGGTAAAAAGACCGTTCAGTCTCTCCAAAAGCACACTGGCGATTGAGACTGAGGTTGATTCCGAGATGGAAAGGAACTCAAAAAAGCGCTCCTGCACTTTGTGGTTGCTATCTATGTACCTCAGCACAAGCACCAGCTGTGTCTGTGTAGAAACGTCCGTGGTCTCGTCAGCTTGGATAGCTACGAAGTTCGCCGACTTCACCTCCTCCACAATATGTTCCCTCATGACCGCTAGCATACACTCCAGTAGCTCGTTTTGAATGGTCTTTGATGTGAACTTCTTTCAAAGAGACAATCGAGTTGCACTGAACGCTAGCCATCTTGATAGTAGTACGTGAATTGATTGACGCTGCTACCCGCTCTTTTCTTAGTTACGTTCATGGTTATGTTACGTATGACGAAAGCGCGTAAGTGCAAGCCCTCAGAAACCCATAGAGATTGTATTGAAAGCTCTGATATTTGAAAAAAAAAGATTTTACATGAGAGTCTATGAGATACTTCTGGGGCGATTTTCAACCTGACTGAAATCGCCCCAAAAGGGGCGGGGCCATTTGAAGCACGACTTTAGCCTGATTGGACATTTAGTGGCAGATCAGACGTCTAGATTAGAACACTGATAACTACTGTTGCCGTGATATAATTGATTAGAAAAAAATCCCTTCCTTTTCCCGTTTGGCAGTGCGTCGCCCATATCGCCCTAATGAACACACCGCCCCTGCTCCAAACTCCACTATGGCCAAGACCAAAGAGCTGTCAAAGGACACCAGAAACAAAATTGTAGACCTGCACCAGGCTGGGAAGACTGAATCTGCAATAGGTAAGCAGCTTGGTTTGAAGAAATCAACTGTGGGAGCAATTATTAGGAAATGGAAGACATACAAAACCACTGATAATCTCCCTCGATCTGGGGCTCCACGCAAGATCTCACCCTGTGGGGTCAAAATGATCACAAGAACGGTGAGCAAAAATCCCAGAACCACACGGGGGGACCTAGTGAATGACCTGCAGAGAGCTGGGACCAAAGTAACAAAGCCTACCATCAGTAACACACTACGCCGCCAGGGACTCAAATCCTGCAGTGCCAGACGTGTCCCCCTGCTTAAGCCAGTACATGTCCAGGCCCGTCTGAAGTTTGCTAGAGTGCATTTGGATGATCCAGAAGAGGATTGGGAGAATGTCATATGGTCAGATGAAACCAAAATATAACTTTTTGGTAAAAACTCAACTCGTCGTGTTTGGAGGACAAAGAATGCTGAGTTGCATCCAAAGAACACCATACCTACTGTGAAGCATGGGGGTGGAAACATCATGCTTTGGGCTGTTTTTCTGCAAAGGGACCAGGACGACTGATCCGTGTAAAGGAAAGAATGAATGGGGCCATGTATCGTGAGATTTTGAGTGAAAACCTCCTTCCATCAGCAAGGGCATTGAAGATGAAACGTGGCTGGGTCTTTCAGCATGACAATGATCCCAAACACACCGCCCGGGCAACGAAGGAGTGGCTTCGTAAGAAGCATTTCAAGGTCCTGGAGTGGCCTAGCCAGTCTCCAGATCTCAACCCCATAAAAAATCTTTGGAGGGAGTTGAAAGTCCGTGTTGCCCAGCGACAGCCCCAAAACGTCACTGCTCTAGAGGAGATCTGCATGGAGGAATGGGCCAAAATACCAGCAACAGTGTGTGAAAACCTTGTGAAGACTTACAGAAAACGTTTGACCTGTGTCATTGCCAACAAAGGGTATATAACAAAGTATTGAGAAACTTTAGTTATTGACCAAATACTTATTTTCCACCATAATTTGCAAATAAATTCATTAAAAATCCTACAATGTGATTTTCTGGAAAAAAAATTCTCATTTTGTCTGTCATAGTTGACGTGTACCTATGATGAAAATTACAGGCCTCTCTCATCTTTTTAAGTGGGAGAACTTGCACAATTGGTGGCTGACTAAATACTTTTTTTCCCCACTGTACATTGCTTTGACCTACCTAGTCCTCAGGGCCTGGTTGGCTCCCGAGTGGCGCAGCGGTCTAAGGCACTGCATCTCAGTGCTTGAGGCGTCACTACAGACCCCCTGGTTCGATTCCAGGCTGTATCACAACCGGCCGTGATTGGGAGTCCCATAGTTTTGAAGTGATCTAGGGATGTGGTGGTTGACGTCAGTGGGTCGCTGCGGCTCTGCGACACGTTTTGGAACCATCACAAGGACCAACGCTTTGCATATGGAAGGTGAGATCAGTTGACCTTTTTTACTCATGCAAGTCATGGAATTAGTGTAGTGTAAACAAAGTGGATTTTGAGAGACCAATGGGACCTGGTAAGACTTGTGAATTTATTACCACCTGAATTTTCTCTCTGTTTGTATTTTCTTCCCCGTAGGTACCCCCGGTCTTCACAGTAGGGTTAGGGTTACCTTGCGGTTATCCTGCCCTCCATGAATAGTGCACAACTTTGTAGTTGGAGACAACCATGTATCTGAATAAAGCATGCATTTAACTTTTGTGGCCTCTGATATATATTAACCCTACTCTAAACCTGTTCAACTGCAAGTGATGTAGAAAACCCTTGACTGAAGTTATGCATAGAATAATGACAAGGATGTGCAGTAAGCCTGTTTTTAATGTTTTAATTAAACATTTAATATATTATACCTTGCGACTCCTCAACCTCCAGGAACCCCTCGTAGTGCCAATCAGGAGAGAGGAATTTGCTCCAGGTGGAGCTGACAACACACACCGGCAGCACTACTTGGTTTTCTGGCCCCAGCCGCTCTCTTCCCAGGGCCCACTCCAGGCACAGCCTGTAGGCAGCAAGGCGTAATTGTCCACAAAGAACAAAACAAATATCTGTCAAGCACCATAAATAGCAAGACATTCATGTTACCCACCTGATACCATCATTGCCATTGACAGTTGTAATATGTCGGGCTGGGGGGTTGCTAAAATGAATGGGTAGGATTGTAATGGAAAAATAAAAAGTGACATTCCTTCAAGTTAGGCTACATCCTCCACACAAAACGTTGAATGAACATGCCTCTATACAAAGCCATGTGCTTTTCAGACTGGTATTTGAGTAACGTTATATCAGTATGGGAATGTTTGTTTGGTAGCTGGCTATATTGTTTCATTACCTTTTTCACAATGTAGCTAGCTATTCGTATGGAAATTAATTAATGTAATGTTAACGTAAGCTGGTGATGTAAGTCGGCTACCTAGTTAGAACAAGTTTA